TTTGAAAAAACCTTTCATGTCAAAAGATATATGCGAATATACACGGTACTCCGAATTTTTTGGAAGGAGGATTGGGGGGGGGGGGTATAGCCAAGGCTTATGCCGTTGGACTGCCTGAGTTTTAATATATTGTAAACAATGCAAAACTTAAATAAGACAAGTAAACAAAATCGAACGATCACATGCTGCCTTTGGTTTATTGTATTATTCTGGTCACAACCCCTTCATTGAAATGAAGATTAACAGTATATGTATATAAACTTTGCAAAGAAACTGGGCTAGCACTAACGGTACACCGACATTGGGTATGTAAATATACATTACCCAAATGTTCAGGTTAATTTCCTTTCCCTTTTCATGAGGACACGACACCTTAAAAATATTTGGACAATTCTGTTGAAACGAACAAAGCAGGTGATCAATATATATTCATTGCTGTATGATAGGTCCTTAACGACGTTTGAAATGACCAAATGTAAAGTGTCAATTCAGATGTAACAAAGAAAATTGTGCGGTCACGTCCAAGGTTAAAATTGTAATTGAACACGGACATTTAGGGCATTAATTTCTTGTTTTTGAAGAGCACCTGTGTCCACAAGAAAAAGAAGCCTCTAATTTTAATTATATACTGGTGCACCCCACCAGGCATTTAGAGGGTCTGCTGAAGGTGCCTATTTCAATCTCTTGGTTATAATGATTGAGTCTGTTTGGGGTGATTGTGTATTGTTCAACGTTATCCAAGACAGTGGTCGGTCAAAGAGCATAACGGATTAAAGTGCTCTGCCTTCAAAATGGATAGAAAAATGATACATGCCATATTGAAACATTTTTAACAATAACACGACGCAGAGATTCGGTCCTTTTGTCCCCATTTTAAGTAGGATTTTGCAGGTATGCAATTCGTCAGCCACTTCTGAAAAATGGAATTGTCACAAACTATCATTTTCTTAATTGTGCATGCATTTGCGGGTCATTGCCTAAACTTATAATAAGACAGTAGCCTTCACATTTATGCAAAAATGACCATAATAATACCTGGATTTTATAGTCGTAATGACCACCTTCCAGTAATATACACCCTGCTGTTCTCAGATTTTATGATGCGGAGGAGTACACAGATTTAGAGGGTGAAAAGACATCTTACATCTGTCCTAAGCTGTTAAACATGCCATCAGAATTCAGAATGACAGTTAATGTATCTGCAAAAATAAAGTGTAGGCCAATTAAGTCCTGACATTCCTAAAGAATCTGCAAAAACAAACATCTTTTATCGGGTTCCCAGCGGCGTGGTTTCGGCCCTCTGACATCAAGTTCCCAAAAATTAAGAGAAGACACATGTCTTGGCGATAGAATTACGGACCATACATTATCCAGATGGGAATGTTTTCTGTTTGTTGGAGGGTCGGATAACGGGACTGACCGTGGTAGACACCGTGCAGTGCTGACCATGCATTTACATTTGCTCGTGTGAAAGATATCACAATATCAACCACTTCAAATTTCTTTTTTTAGAAGATATATGTACTTTCACTGATGTTGAAAATTAAAAAAAAAAACCCATAAATATTCAAAGATAATAACAGAGCTCACCTAGCTCAACGAATGTTATATTTAATAAGGCAGAGTCCCAAACTAAAGTAATAATCTAGTAGTGTACATCCCTAGATGCTACATTTATACAATTTTGGTTCAGGTAGGGCTTACAATTACCTGGAAATGGACTTGTCCTAAAAATTTAAACTGGTCACTCATCCAGAAAATGTAGGTCAGATCTGGCATACAAAAGCAAGTCTGTTCGTGTGGATCAGTTGATGCATCATCCATGCGTATTTGGTCCAGGTAGGTCTTATAGACACTTGGGAATGGATCTACTCAAAAAGTCGTAATGTAATACCTATACAGCAGGAGATACTGCTGTATAGTTCTTCTTTCATATATGTATATTTCAAGTTATGTTATAAAGCACCTGTGTAACACCTGCTGACCAATTTTTATATTATAAAACTAATGTTATACTTTTGTGGCAATATATGTAATGTATACGCCAATAAAGATACTACCGTAAATCTGGAAATTTTTACTGTAGATAAATTTTTAGCAAATTTGCGCGTGCATTGCATTCGCAAAAATATTTTTCTTTAAAATAAATCAACAACAAAAAACGTAAACAAAAATTTTGCTGACAGTCTAATTTTGACCCGGTGAACAGGAAGGTGTTCATAAGCAGTGGTCAAAACTGTTTGTGCTACAAGGTAATTACCCATGATAAAGCGTGCGTAGAGAATATACATAAGTGATTTAATAAAATGTTACAAAACTTAAAAAAGTTAAGATGTTTTATCTCTTCTAGTATTTTTATCTGATTATTGAGCGTTGGCATCGTGTAATATAGTATGTACACGCGTAATTTTTTGTATGTACCGTACATGCATTAATATTGTTTGTACATGCGTAACTTTTAAATTGTTATGAAAGTGTTGAGCCCTTTTTAATTTTAGCGCCAATGACAATTCGCAAAATTTTGAAACGTAAAAATTAATCAACAGCTTTTTGACCCAGATTCGCAAAAATAAATCGACGTAAAAATTTCCAGATTTACGGTACTACATAAACATTATAATAGTACTTTAGAATGAACCTGTTTCAAAAACTTTAACATGGTCATTCATCAGGAAAGTGTAGGCCAAATTGCAGCATCCAAAGCAAGTCTATTGGTATGTACCTTGCATGTATCACCCAAGCAAGTCACCCATTTTTAGCTCATCAGTAGGAAGCAATTTCAGTAAACAGTTTTCAGTTTGGGTGCATGGGCACTTCCAACAAAAACTTCTTGACAAGCAAGCAAAAATCAGACCTAATTATTGATCTGAGGGGGCATATATTATGATACATAAAGTAATTTTGTTTCTTATAGTATACTATACATCGACAAAATTATTGGGAGAGGGCATTCCCTCCCCCGTTCCTATACGGCCATGATCAGTGTTATCTTAAATCTGAACATTTACAATGCACAAATACTTTCCATTAATGACCTCCAAATGTCTCAAGAACCTTAAATTATTATCATTATTGAGAATAACATGCCCCTCTCTCTTTCATCGTTTTAACACAATGGTGTATTAGTGTGTTGTTCGGGCACAAAATCTTTTTCGATTCTGCTGAATAAATGGTATGGAGATAACAAACAATATTCAAGCTCAAAAGACCATTAAACAATACAAATTTTGGAGCAGAGGAAACACGGACCTCTGAAACATCAGAGGTGGGATCAGGTACCATGGAGGAGTGAGCATCCCCTGTCGACCGATCACACCCGACGTGTGCTCCTTGTCATGATCGGGTAATAACGGAAAAATCCGTCGACAATTCAGTGTGTAAATAATGGCCTAACAATTAGTATGAAAAACGTCAGTCAGCATTTGACTTAATGATAAATTGTATTTGCTCACAAGGTCATTGTATCGACCATAGAACTTACGAAATGACGACTTTAAACGAGACTGCTGATATTCTTGTTTCATCAACTTGTTTGTCAATTACCCCGTTTTAGAAATTGTTCATACGTAGAGCATGACCTTGCGTATCGAATCAACTGAGAAATATAAACCCTGTATGCAGGTGATGAAGGTACATGTATATTGCTGCATAAGTAAGGGAAATTGACGATTGAAAAGTTAAAGTCATCATGTTTATCATAAAGCTTGGTTGTTAGATTACCATTAACGTCTTTTCCTAGTAAAATATCCAAATATGAAACAGTTGTGTCAGACTCAGTGGTATCTTTTATTTCAAGCTCACTGGGATATATCGCGTCGACATACGAATGGAAATAATTGTTAATTGACAATACGTCGTCGATGGATCTAAATGTCGAGTTGAAGGCCACATCAAGTGTTTTCTTCTTTTCACGTACAAGATTTTGAACAAATTTTGCTTCATATGAATACAAAAATAGGTCTGCTAATAACGGGGCGCAATTGGTACCCATGGTAATTCCAGTAGATTGTTGGAAGACCTGGTCTCCAAAAACTACATAGATATTGTCAATCAGAAACTCAAGAATCTTTTTAATATCAACTTCAGAGTACTTGTGTGTACAATCAGAATGTTTTTTTAACAAAATAATTTTGCAAATGGCCAATGACAAGGTAAGTAAATTTACGAGTTTCATTTTTATTGTAAAAGCAGCTGTCAATGATATCAAAAAAGCCTGGACTTTAATTTATCGTGGGGAATGGTTGTATATATAAAGTTGAAAAGTCGTAAATTTTTATTTTGTTGATTTTGGTAAAATTTTGTGATTTCTAATTTTACATCTGATTTACACCACTTCTCGAATATATTGTTGCACAGTACTCCTGAAGTTTCTCCTTCACTACTGTTAATATTTATGCGAGGAGTAAAGAAAGAGGCTTGGTAGAACATTTACTGGAACCCGCTATGTATCTTTTTTTGTAAGGGCTTTTATGAAGTTTCGGAATCCAATACAGATATGGTAATTCTAATTCATGTTGGTTGTTGAGAATATTAAAAATATTCAAAACTGACATATATGATTTTGAAGAATTTCCTCCTTAAAAAGGGAGCTATGGAATTAGCAATGATAATTCTTTTTTCTCCAATTTCTTCCATTTTTTTTTTAATTTTGGAATTTTTCAAAGACATACTTTGTAGTGGAATATATTTTACACGTAGTATGAGGAAAATCGTGCGTTTCTTTGTTTTCCTCCTATCTCATCTCCTAATCAATGCTATCATGACTATGCCTACTATGCATTAATTTATAGTCAAAAGAAATTATTTCCTTGTGCAGATCAAATTTACTCTTCCATTATCATTAAAGATGCACTATCTGATTGCTACAACATTGAAAGAAATGTTTCCTTATTTAGATTTTGTACAAGGCGAATAAACTGGTAACTAAGAGTTCGGGATCGACATCCAATAAATATTAGCGCTGTATTGCGAATTTCCTCAGTGAAAAGGGTTTTGGAGCCAAGGAAATGGTTGTCAATTCTTTGCTAGCTAATCTCTTGACCGAAAGTTGAATAATACATCACCGTATGACAGATGTGGTGAGTGTGATAAATACAGATTGATGAATTTAATGTATTTCGTATACATGTAACTGACAGACTGAAAGGAATAATTTCAGGTTGTCTTAATCTTAAATCTATCCTTATATCGTGTTGTGTACTTGTGATGTGTAGTTTTTACTAATATTTGAATTCATCACATATTTAAAAATGCTATGTTCAGAATGTCTTGCTTATATTTCGTGATTTCAGAGCATCATCATTCCTGTTTACAATGGAGAGAAATGGATTGATGAATGTTTAAGGGCTGTGAGAGATCAAGATTTTAGTGGAAGCTTAGAAATATCCATTTTCAATGATGGATCAACAGTAAGTCCATCTGGATACAGTTCACTCATACATTTACACTGAAAACTCATCAAATTTTCTTCTCACTGGTTTGATTTTAGGCAGAATACATGTGTTGTAATTTCAAATGAGATTTGAATAGAATGACTGCATGAATGTGATTTGTAAAATTTACCATGTAAGTTGTTCTACATGTACATGTATATTCAACCATTGTTGCTGAGAAGTGCTAGGGATTTATAACTGTCTCAGGATTTCTGGATTATTTCAGATGCTAATTGCTTGTTTCTCTTAATACATTAAATTTTTAGGTCACCTGAGTCACTCAGGTGACCTATTGCTATCTCTTTTCGTCCGTCGTCGTCCGTCGTTCGTCGGTCGTAAACTTTTGAACATTTTCAGCTTCTTCTCTGGAACCAGCAAACCAATTTCAACCAATTTTGGCATATAGCATCTATGGGTGAAGGGGAACAAAAATTGTGAAATTCGTGGCCCCTGCCCCCCTGGGGCCTGAGGGGTGGGGCCAAAACCATCAAAATTAATGCAATCTTTAAAAATCTTCTTCTTTACTCCTGGACATCAAGCAGTCAAACTGTTGGCATGATTGTAATAAGCATTGAGCCCTCTACCAAAATTGTGAAATTCACGGCCCCAGGGTCAGGGGTTCTGGTGCTAGGGCGGGGCTATATAGATCATATAGTGAAAGTGCATTATTTCTTTGAAAATCTTCTTCTCTACTCCTGGGTATTATTGAAACAAATTGAATACATAGTTATTATAAGCAAGAGTGACTCTACTGTTATTGTGAAATTCATGGCCCCAGGGTCAGGGCTTCTGGTGCTAGGGCAGGGCTATATAGATCATATAGTGAAAGTGCATTATTTCTTTGAAAAGCTTCTTCTCTACTCCTGGGTATTATTGAAACAAATTGAATACATAGTTATTATAAGCAAGAGTGACTCTACCAAAATTGTGAAATTCATAGCCCCAGGGTCAGGGGTTCTGGTGCTAGGGTGGGGCTATATAGATCATATAGTGAAAGTGCATTATTTCTTTGAAAATCTTCTTCTGTACTCCTGGGTATTATTGAAACAAATTGAATACATAGTTATGATAAGCAAGAGTGACTCTACTGTTATTGTGAAATTCATGGCCCCTGGGTCAGGGGTTCTGGTGCTAGGGCGGGGCTATATAGATCATATAGTGAAAGTGCATTATTTCTTAAAAAATCTTCTTCTCTACTCCTGGGTATTATTGAAACAAATTGAATACATAGTTATGATAAGCAAGGGTGACTCTACCAAAATTGTGAAATTCATAGCCCCAGGGTCAGGGGTTCTGGTGCTAGGGTGGGACTATATAGGTCATATAATGAAAGTGTATTATTTCTTTGAAAATCTTCTTCTCTACTCCTGGGTATTATTTAAACAAATTAAATACATAGTTATGATAAGCAAGAGTGACTCTACCAAAATTGTGAAATTCATAGCCCCAGGGTCAGGGGTTCTGGTGTTAGGGCGGGGCTATATAGATCATATAGTGAAAGTGCATTATTTCTTTGAAAATCTTCTTCTGTACTCCTGGGTATTATTGAAACAAATTGAATACATAGTTATGATAAGCAAGGGTGACTCTACCAAAATTGTGAAATTCATGGCCCCAGGGTAAGGGGTTCTGGTGCTAGGGCGGGGCTATATAGATCATATAATGAAAGTGCATTATTTCTTTGAAAATCTTCTTCTCCACTCCTGGGTATTATTTAAACAAATTAAATACATAGCTATGATAAGCAAGGGTGACTCTACTGAAATTGTGAAATTCATAGCCCCAGGGTCAGGGGTTCTGGTGCTAGGGTGGGGCTATATAGATCATATAGTGAAAGTGCATTATTTCTTTGAAAATCTTCTTCTCTTCTCCTGGGTATTATTTAAACAAATACATAGTTATGATAAGCAAGGATGCCTCTTCCAAAATTGTGAATTTCATGACCCCTGGATCAGAGGTTCTGATATTAGGGCGGGGCTCTATTTATTATATAGTGAAAATGCATTTATGCTTTAAAAATCTTCTCTGCACCTGGGCATATCAGAGGCAAAAAGAGTAAAAGTTTTAATAAGGAAGGGTATTTTTACCAGATTTTTGAACATCAGAACCATTTGATCAAGTGTTCTGGTCCAGGCCAGGGCTCTATTAATTTGTATTCTATTGAGAGGAGTTATTCCCCTTTGCCATTTACTTGTGTTAATTAATCACTGTAAATAATGTACTTGAAAGGTTAATAGAATAAGAGAATTATGCTAGAATTTTTATTGTAAAATACAAAAAGTACTTTCGTAGTTTTAATGATCAGGTAGACTTGTAAGTAACAGATAAATAAAAATGAGACAAAAATAACTTGTCTTATTAAATGTTCATCAAAGACCAAGAGAGGCCATTGTAAGAGATTTCAACAAGGAATTAAGAGTACAGAAGCACTGATTATAAGTTTGTTTATATACTGTCTGGTGAGAGTGATAAATGGGGAACAGATTAGAACCTAATTTATGCACTGTTAATGAACACTAGACTGATTATTTTGTTGATCCTGATCACCCTATTTTTCTTGCTTTTGGGCAACAAAGCTTCACCTTTCAGTTCATTTTATACTCTATGGATCCTCTAAATTGTTGTATTATACTCAGGTGACCGTTAAGGCCTTTGGGCCTCTTGTATAGAAAGAGAACTTGTTGTGCCTACAATTTAAGTCCATTGTAGATCTAATTGAATATGATGACTTGATGGATTTTATAAATATCACACTGTAAATTTTGAATTTACAAGGTACCTGAAGGTAAAATTTATGCAAAATAACCCACTACATAGTTATCATGTTGTAAACTTTGCCCACCTAGTATATGCAAACCAGTGGCGGATTCAGGGGGTTTGGGGGGGGGGGGGGGGGGTTCGGGACACCCCCCCCCCCCCAACCCAATCAAAAAAAAATTTTTTACACCTGTCATTTTTTAAATGATATATTTCATAAATGAGACTCTATCCAAGCCCATTGTTTTACACAAAGAGCATAGGCACTCCCCAACTTAATTGTTAAAAAATATATATCTACTATACTATAAACATATGTTATGTTTATAGTACATTGTATAGTAGATATATATTTTTTAACAATTAAGCTGGGGAGTGCCTATGACAAAGAGGTGAAATATACAGCCACCAGGAGAAACCCCTTTCCGCTTGAGCGCACACAATACACAGGTATTCAATAGTACAGAGATAATGATAGTCTGTGCAGCTAGCAATGACACAAGGTCATACAGCAACAACCAAAACTGCACATAGAACTGTTTTGGTATTGTTAAAGTAATATTCTTTCAAGATTTTCTTCTTTCTTCGACAATTTAATGTGACTTTATTGAACTATGTGAATAAACTGTGGTTATTATTATTATTTTTAGAAAAAAATTAATACATCAGGGACGTATACTAGTTGTTTATGTTGTGACCTGGACCAAAAAGCACATTGAAAGTGCTCCTTTTGTAGATGGAAGCTACAATGCAATTTTAATCATGTTAAAAAGCATATCTGCAAATACATATATATTTTTAAATTACAGTTGAATGAGTTTAATAAAACCCAACTAACGGTTACAACTTTGTATCATGAATTGTGGTAAAACTGATATGTATAAAGTAGAGGTATTGATTGTTTTTCAAGCCTTTTTTTTCAAACATTGGGCTGGTAAGTGAGTAAAAAAATAGAATTAAAGAGTGCATTTATGTTAGAAATTATAATCCCCCCCCCCCCCCAATGAATAAGCAATAATTCCAACAATTTCCCAAAAAAAAAAATTAATATTTTTTCTTCGATATGAAATATCATTATTTGTTTATATTGAAAAAAAATATGAACAGTATAGTCAAGTAGTTGAAAAGAGTAATTAGGGTTTCTACACAGAATCCAAATTTTCTAAGTGTTGAGAAATTGCACATCAGTTGCATTTTGGTAGACAGAGCTACACATGCGACACATTGGACGTACATTTTAAAATGAAGTACTGTATTGGAAAATGGATATTATATATCAGAGGGCGATATTTCTGATTTTATTAGATTTTACATTAAAAAATTTTTCTAGAAAAGTCTCATTTTTTCATGTTTACATGGAAGTTAAAAATAATCCCAACACTTGATTTTTTTGTTCAGATTCTTGAAAAGTTAGGTAGGTCGGTCTTGAAAAAGAACTAGAAAAAAAGTGGCAAAAAACTAACTAATTCAGTCTAAAATACTGGAAAATGCACCATTTGGAGCCATTTTTAAAGAAAACCCCACCTATGGCAGGGGGACACCCCCTCCCATACCCTCCCCCTTCGGCCCTACGGGCCTCAACCCCCCCCCCACCCCCATGAACTTCTTGATCCTCCACTGCAAACTTTACAACATGATATAAGTACACTGTACTAGAATTAATGATTTATTCATGACACTCAGTAATAGGTTTAAACAACAACTAAGACAAAATTGTTTAATACATTGTATATGTCTTTCATTTTCAATAATACCGACACACTCATGTCTTATGTAATTGATTATACCTATGTATTTTGATACTATTTACATATGAAAGGATGAGACTCTTAACAAACTGGAAGAGTGGAAGGATATTCTGAAAGAGAAGTCATTTTCTGTCATTATTGGAGGTCATAGTTCAAATCCAAGAGGAGGCATGTCTATTTCATATACTTACAAAATCTACTTCTAACTGAATCTTTTTCAAAAAAAGAAAATTATTATTATTTAATTAAATAAATAATAGATAAAATTAAATAATACTTTTGTTTTGTTTTGTTTTTTTTTTTTTGCATGCTTTTATTTCAGAAATAAGCTTTTGTTCTGAGACAAGAGATGAGTACAATATTAGAAACTAATGTGTCTTAATTCTCTTCTTTGAAGTTGGATATGCAAAGAATCGAGCAGTAGAACAGAGTAATGGAGTCTACCTATGTTTCCAGGACATTGTAAGTTTTCTAAACAAATGTTCCCCCCTTTTTTCAGGTAAAACAATTCACTATTTTGTTCTCTATGGTATTTTAAGGATGATGTGATGTCACCTGACAGAGTGTCCAAACAGTACCAGGCCACTAAATCTGAACCTAAGAATGTAAGTGAAGCATCTCTGTAACAGTGTAATCAATATTTCACTTGCTGGCAATTGATAAAGGTATTAACTGAAAATTGGGCTGCATTCAAGATCATAGCTGCTAACCTAGCAGCTAGGTAGTAGATATCTATCTCTATTGAATGGACAGCTAGCTTAGCCACTAAATGTTAGATTTAGGAAAAAAATACATCAGTAAAAACTTATTTCTGGAACTAAAAGAGTATTTTAAGTGAAAATATATGTGTAAATTTACATTTAATTCTCTAAGATATAGAAAACAATCCCCCATTTTGTTAAAATCTTGTGTGCTGCCAAGTGGTAACTAAGGAGGCCATCTTGGATTTGGTACTTAGCATCAAATATTTATGCTAGCTCTCCCTATGTAGCAGCTGGGCTAGCATAATGATCAAGATCTAGCTTTACATAGAAGCTACGTAGCCATTACGCTCTTGAAATATCCCTAATATTTTAGAATTCCTCCAAAGTTGAGGAGTGATAGTTATCTTTTATGTAGATTGTAGGAAGCAAGTTCCACAGGGAACCAGCTGGATCTACGGAAAGGTTCACACATTGGGCTAATAATCTTACCAATATTCAACTGTATTCACAGGTAAATAGCTACACTGATAATTTACTTTACATACAGTTAATTTTATATACATGACAATAAAGAAAAGATTTTTTTAAAACTTTGGTTTGAGTACAATATAATATAATTTTTATAATGGCAAATTGTCCAAAATTCAGTATAAATTAAGGTTGTATGTTGTACAGAGGAAGAACATGTAGATTTACAATGAATAATTGCCTACATACTAACATTACAATAGTAAATATATTGTTTACAGTTCAAATATTGTCTATATTCATTTGAGAACTGTTAAAAGAAAGTTAATGGTGAAAAGTTTATGCAGTTATCTAGTGGTAATTTTGAACTAGACATTATTAAGGTGTGAAAAAAACCTGCAGGTGAAACCTCATTTGTCACCTTGCCAGGCAGATTTTCATTCTTAGTCAATACAAATTGTCTGTGTTTACAAACTTTTTGATAAATAGGTTTTAATAACCTTGCTAGTTTTCTGGAAAGAATCAGTTTGCAAGTATTTCAATTTTGTTGGCATGTGTGACAAAGAACACAGCAAAGAATTGGCAGCAACACAAAACAGCAGAACAAAACATAAGTTGGAAGTCAAAGTTGAAGTCATCTGCAGCATGTGACATGGTTTTGAATTTCCATTGGCTAACATGCTGTGCAGTTCAGTGTCACTTGCATGTTTGACAGCAATAACCAGGACAAAAACTACTCCGACAGCTTGACATGTAATTTTGCATCAGAAAGATAAACGGAATTCAATACAGTTATTTAATTTTTGTTTATAGAGACAGAAAAAAGGTGCATGATCAAGTTTTAGCTTGTTATGTAATGTGAACAATTGCTTAGTTTTCAGTGGAGGGTTGGGTATTGTGAATGATGTATTTTTGTTTGAAAATTGACACCTTTTGTGAGAATTTGGGTTTTTTCTTTTGAAGATTTACACCTCTCATGGCCCGACCCTCATCATGCCGACCTGGTTTTGTCACCGAGCAGTTTTCGACAAAGTTGGAGGCTTCAATGAGGATGGAAAAGTTGGTATTTAGTTTTGTTGAAATCTAACATAAAGGGAAAAATTCTTTCAAAAGTAAACAAATGGAAGTTTGTATAAGTACCCACCAATTTAAATGTATTTTTCAATGCTATACAATATTGCTTACTTAAAGTATACTAATCTTGTCATCCATGCATATCCAAATTGTAATAGTGATTTAGACAGTGTATGATAAATACACAGAATTCAACCTTCAACCTCCCTTCAAAGTATTTACTGTATCTCAATTCTCAAAGTAAGTGATATGTTCCTCATCTGTGATGTTTATACAGGGGGTACCAGAGGATCTGATCTTCTTCCTGCAGCACTTGGAGCTGGGAGGGGGACTACTTCGGGTGGATGCAGACCTCCTAATGTACCGGTACCACCCAGAGGCCACCACATTCTCTATTCATGAGTAAGATAACGTCATCAGCTGAATGAACTTAATGATACACAGTTACATACAATTTAAAATCCAAATGTTTTAGGCAACTTTAGAGGTGCAGCAAATATTCTACACATCAAAGTGTAGCACTGCCTTTGCACACAAATTTGGATGGCACAATATTCAAGTGTCACAATTATGTTTTTATACAAAGCCAGGATTCAGTGGCTTTGATTTTGACATCTTGATTCATGAAAAGCGGGATGCTTGTCACTAATAAAAAAGAATTGGTTTCTGTTTTTTGATGTTTATATGACTACATCTATTTTATCAATGGTGCAAAAATATCCTGTGTTTCAGAGACTCCATATGGAGGATAAGAATGGAGTATGTCCAGAAACAGGTGATAGAGAAATGGGAAACATTTACAATCTGGAATGCTGGGAAACAAGGAAGGAAGTTTTACAGATCCTTGACAACAGCCAATCAGAGGAAGGTAAGTTTTAATGAATATTTTTTTCCCTTATATATTCACATAATGCACATACAGTAAAACTTGGATGTAAAAGAACTTGCTTATTAGGAAATCTCGGTTATAAAGAAATTTTCATTAATTCCATAGAATACTTTGCACTATGTTGTATGAAGAATCTAGGTTTTAAGGAAGCAAAATCGAAGTGCCTGTGATTTCCTTGTAACAGAGCTTTACTATATTGTAGTATTTAGTATTAGGCACTAAATCCTTAAAACATTTATTAGGAGACTTTCTTCTCAAGGTTACTGTGACCTTTTAAGATGAAGCTTAATCACTTTCTGCCAAAATCTGTAGATCTTCTGACACTAAGTGTTAATACTTGAAAAATCGACTTGTACATATTTTGCAAGTTTTAACTTGCATCGTTCTCAAATAAGAGTGCATAAATAATATATGATGTAACTGTAAGTGGAGAAAGAAAAAAAAAATAGAAGTATGGTGCAGAGGTGTAGCAGATATGACTTAAAAAAAGAATACAGATGCAATATACAGAGCAATTGTAGATTTCCAGTCATACAGACATTACCTGTTGTGTATTACTCTGTTTCATATGTAAAAGTAAAAACAAGTGTGCAGAACAACCCATTTTACTGGACTGTTTGTTTTATGTTTGTTCAGTGTTTCATAGAATTTGACATTTAACAGTTAAATCAGTTTTCAGTTTAAAGACATAAATGAACAAAGTGCAGGAGAATAATTCTCTGGTGTGATTCCCAGTTTCCAAAATTACCTCTTACAGTGCAAAAAGTTAAATCATCAAAGGTGTTGTCCTGAGGCAGCTTTTTTTTGGGGGGGGGGGGGGGGGGGGGGTTTAAATAGGCAGTGGAGGAAGATGATTAATTTGATGTTAATGGCTTCATCATTTAAGCATCATTTAGGAACACATTGGAAATCCCTTAATATGGTTATACAGGTCTAAGGATTTACGATAAGCTTTCATTGGCAGGTTAAATTGACATCGTTTTGTAATGAGTTTATCCCTTTATTTTAATGAGTTTACATTTGATATTAGACGAAAATCATTTATTGTAGACTTTTTTGTCGAAGTTCATTCTGTCTCTTTCTAAGATGGACAGATGGTTGTATTTAAAAAAAATGTGTAAAGAAAAGACGACATGTTTAGTAGTGAAATAAATTGAAATTTTACTTCCAGTTGAATAAATGGAATTTTTTTTACCACTCCTGTCTCATAAAATGGAAAAAAAAAAATTAATGATAAAGATCATGAAAAACAGATAGCATCTTATTGTGAGTGAGCGATAACAATCAACTTCACCCAATCTGTTTTTTATTTTATCAGAAACTATAATGTTTAATGTAAATTTGAGTTTTGTCAATTCAACTACATTTACACATGTGAGAAAAACAGAATGACATTTTTTTTTGTCCTAGGAAATTGTTAAATGCAATTCAAGGCCATGCATTCAGAGTCCCATTCCATGAAAAATAGAAAATAGTTTTAACATTTGTAAATGTTTTTAATGGTGGAAAATGTCATACAGATATTACAAAAAAAATGAACAAAACAAAATTAAATTATTTGAATTGGACTGTTCATTCTTTGACTGTTCGTGTTTCTGTACGGCAGTCATAGGAATTTGATGCAGATAGGGAATGATAAGAAATGTCAGAGTTAATAGGTAAAAAAAAAGTAATTAATGGGACAGTTAAGTGTCATCCTACAGAGAAGTTATTTAATTATCGTAGTGATACATGTATATGGACAAAATATGTTTGAAGATATTTCCATTAAGGTGTGATAAAAATTAATTTTTATTTTTATACACAGAAATTTAAATGCCATTGGATTGGTCATGATTTAATTATCAAATTTTTAGTACTAAAGGTCAGTGACAGTGGATCATGTGCTATTTAATGTAAAGCAGATGACATTCATGTCCTGTTTATCAAGGTGCAAAAATGTAAAAAAAAAAAAAAATGTTACAGCTACAAAATTATATGCAAATGGCTTATCACAATTGAAATCTACAGCAGGTGCTTAAGAATTTAGAAAGGTAATGGATGAAAACAAGATCAGAACAATTGTATTTAAATCTCCTCTAATTTCTAGCTGGGGATATTCAGGGGCATGTGTATTTAACAAATGACCATGGTTAATATCCCCCAACATGAAAGCCCCTCCTGTGATAAGATCTAAAAATTAGATTTATCCTCCAGTTTTAAAGTTGTTGGGGCGAAACAAATGAATTGGCTACAGCTTGGTCAAGTGAAAATGGAGAGTAGATAAGTAGGCCCTTGTCTGACACGGGTTGAACTTTATCTGCACATACCTGAACTAATGAGGGTAAATAAGGTCGTAAATTTGGTCTGGTTTTGTCATTTTCAGGTGTACTGGCAAATAGTGTCATACATTACAGAGTGAGATAATGAGCTTTTTATAGAATCTTGAAATATTTTAACTAAACTTGATGGTTTTTGAAATTATTCAAGAGGAAGTTTTATATGATATGCCATTTACTGAGGGTTTGAAAGGGACTATAATATATAAAATCAATGGTTCTACAGACTTGCCACTGTCATCTGGAGGTGCATGTATATATGGGTTCTCTAATATATATATAGTAGTCATTTTTTTGTGGTCTGTATGTAATGTGTTTTTTTTCAAGTCATTTTTTTCCTGATGAATATGCTGGTATTAATTTTTATCATACTATAAATATATAAAGTGTGTGTGTGTGTGTGAAGGACAACAGCCCCACTTACAAATAACTAATTCTTGTTTTTGAACTCAAAACTGCCATTCAGTTGCTACTTAACAATTTAATTTGTACCAGTTTCCCCTATTTTTAATTTGATAATTTGACTGGTTAGGCCAAAGTTTATGTGTACATTGTGTTTTGCATTTAGATTAGAATGACCCCAAACACGTGTTGCCAAAGACCCCCCTGTATCCAAACAATTGCAGAACCAAGCTAAGGAAACAAACTGTTTTTTATTAATACTTAAACATTCATCCAAAAACTTTCTATTACCTGTCTTTTTGACCGCCACTGGCAAGCTAAAAGGACACAGGTTGGAAACACAATGCATGTCCATCTGATTTCATTTTAATTTCACCCGTATTAAATTCATAAGACTGTTTTTATACTGTGTCTAGCTAGTATCAAATGTGGAGATTTTATATTAGAGATGTTAATGGGATGCAAAGATTGAAATTTGACGATGCGTATCAATTAGGTATTCCAACTAACCTGTCGCCTTGTTAAATTCGTTGTCGGTGATGGAACACTTTTCAAAGACACCTTCAGGCCAGCCATTGTGAAATCGTTACAAAAGAGATCTTCTTAAATTATTTATATCCCTTATATGAAATTTTTCAGACAAATTTTAAAAGAGGGATTATAAAACTTAATACTAGTTCCCTATCTATTCATCACTCAGTGTCAAAATTGTATTTAGAGTTCACAACTTTATACAAACTATCAAATGATAAAAAAGCATAAAATATGATGCAGAGAAGTGGAAGATCCAAGGAACAGGGCTTTTTGAAATAAGTTCACTTTAAGACATAGTTGATTAGAACCATTCAGTGTTTTAGGAGCTTTCAAAAGAAACAAGACTTTATTTTGACAGATTATGAAGTTGAACAAGTTTATTCTCCACAGGATTTTTTTTTTTTTTTTGAATAAAAAGGGGATCAGAAAAAATTGTCTCTGACTTGGATCGCTCTGACTGAAAGATTTATTTTGTCCAAAAGTAACCTTACAATGAATTTTATTAATATGTGTAGGAGCATATGAACAAGAGCAAGTCAATACTGGAAAATCATCTATCATGCACAGAGACATACATGTACAAAAATTTTCTATTGAATTGTGGCTGCATATATAGTCTTTCATAGTCATAAAAGGAAAGCAAATCATATAAAATATAGACAGAAGATCCTAATATGATGAATGTTGAATTTTATAATTCATGCAAACACAGATGTTGTTTGCAACTTTTTACATATATTTGTTATTGCGAATTATGTCCATGTGCATATAAATTGTTGAATGAACTTAAAGCTCCCAAATTATTTTGATATCAGATGGCTGAGTTGACATTGATGTTAACTGCCAATCAGATCCTATTACGGTAGTATTTTACAGAAGTTACTCTCATATTTTCATATGCTTTCAATTTATTGTTTTTAACTTAAAAAATGCTTGTTTCAATAACAGTAGTGTATAAAGTTTTAATTATAAATGGTGGATAAATGTAGATTTGTAATGAATTGATTTTCTGAAATCTGAATAATAAAGGTCGGCCAAGTCAAGAAAAATTTAAAATTTTGTTACCATTTATTTGAAAATGCATTAAAACTAATTTTCTGATAAATCACTCTGCCCATAAATGTCTTGTATCTTAAGGAATGAGAAATATTGATGTGCAGTAGATCGCCGCCAATTGGACAGGGGGTATCCAATTTCATTAACTTTCATTCTGGTCACTTCACACTGGGCCTGTCTGGTCAAAAATTACTGATTCACCCCTGACCTTAGCGGGGACAATTGGCTGACCCTTTGGTCAGTTCTTTTGAGGTCCAGTACCCCCAAATCACAACCTGTAAAGTAAACCAATTAACTTCTTAATATTGGGTTAGCTATATAATGGAGAGCTCTAATGACAGTGAAATTATTTTGGGATATCATGAATTTGAGAGAAGATTTATGATTTTCTCACAAATGGAAAGAAAACATAAGAGCACAAAGCCAAGCTTAGACCAGTGCCTGGTTTAGGGAATAGTTGAAGGAAGACCAAGATGTCTGACCATCTGCTGGTCAGTGAGAGAAGCTCATATTACAAGCTCTGTGATCTATGGTATCTTTTTATGGTCAGAAACCATTTAAAATCTCCCCCCATTCTGCAATCTGTCTGTTCCAGTTTATCTCGCTCGGAGAGTCTTTGTGTAAATCTTTTCTCCCTCTGGAGTTTTTTAGGTCCCCCTTAAATAAGTTTTTGTCACCATATCTAAAGCCTCCTTTTGATCTATAAAGATACCTGTAAATTATTTCCTTGATAAGGTATTTTGAATGTGATTAGATTCAATTATCTCATTTTAATTCAGAAATTCCAGAACCATAAGGGACATACCAGCGTACATACATGTATGTAATATCAGCTAGAGAAAAGAAAAAAAACTGTCAATCTTTTACATTTGTGAGAATTTTGCAAGTGTTTTCTATTTCAACGAATAATTTAAAAAAAAAAAAAAAAAACGGAATGTCGGAAACTTCATAATTTATGGTAACTTCAAAGACAATTTTCAGCAGGTGAATTTAAGTTACGTACCGTTAAAAATCAACAAGTTTACCAAGCAGGAGGCAAGGGAAGTTATAAATTCAACTAAAATCTATAAATGCAAATGAGATTTTATTTTTATAAGTTTCAAATAAAATAAATATCAATTATTGTGATGGATATGGCAATTCTAAATCGGTCAAATTGAATTCTGACGGCACTAGAAAACACACAACTGAAGAAAAGTGTTTTTCAGCTATGACACATTAAATGGCAAATAAATTGATGAGCAATTTTTAAATGGACATTTTATTCGGCAGATATCATATAATGTTCCATCATTTTTTATGATTGAATGGAGTTATTTGGTGGTCATTTTATTGATGTCTGATACACTGTTCAAAGGGAAATGTGCCTCACAGAGGTTTAATGTATGATTCACAAGTCTAGAGTAAATGCAACGAGCCATTTTATTTCCAATTAAGTATTGCAGTGAAAAATGGACTTTAATAAAAGCAAGTTTTGAGAATGTTTACTTCTTTATTTGGCAAGTTTATACACATGTTAATGACAAATGAAAGTGAAGGAGAGGTGATCTACTGAGTATGTTATTATTATCAGCATTCATGTAACTATTAAGGTTTTAATAAAGTTTTTAAAAGTTTGAGATTTAATGATATTGAAATGGTTTGGATTGCTTTGTTGGACTTTTTATGATGGTTTTACATTAAGGAATGCATTAGTCTGGAGATTTAGTTCTGATTGAATGTATTGAAGTTGTTTAAAATATATGTGATTGGAAATGAATTTTGTTGAAGTTTGATGAATTTGTGAAATTGAAAATTGGTTCAAAAATTCATGTAAATGATATCATTTCTTTTTTTTTTAAGTAAGGTGTATGCTGTCTCTTTTTATGATCAAAACATCTGCTTTTTGCACATATTATACTTTTTAAATGTAAAAAATATCAACTCTTATATTTTTTCTTTTTGATGTAAATTGTTGTTGTAGCTATTTCTGATTTAATTCTGCTTGGATTTCAATCTTTAATGCAGGCAGTCACTTTGTAAAACTTACAGTCGTGTAATATCATTCACAAAACAGATTTCATTTGTTCTGAACTAAAATTTGAAGTATACTAGTGTATGTAAAATTAAAAAAGTGCTTTTTGTAACATGCATATAATTTACAAACCTATCTTACTTGTGTGTGTGAGGTAGTGGTGGAGGAAGGGGTAGAATTTGAAAGCATGAATCAGATGGTAAAAGAGAAATTAAAAGAAAATGAGTTTGATGTGGAACAAAATGATTGGAAACTAAAGAGAGGAAGCTTGATTTACTGAGGTGAATGGTGTACACACCAAATGCTTAATTTATACTGGATAAAAAAGGGATGGAAACTTTGCACAGTTGAAAATTTTTGTATACTATAGGAATATGTGACCTAAGAATGGGGTCATGACCTTGACCTCAAGTTAAAGCTGTTGTTCCTTACCTCATTATGATTATAATGCATTAAAATCAGCAATCCAAAGAAGAAATTAAGAATAGAAAGTTTAGGGTAATGTTGTCTGTAGAGAAAACTGTCAAGATACAATCTCTATGATCTTGACCTTAAAGGCTCAAGACAAAACAAAAATGATTGGTATTTTGTTGTGAATTTTCAACTAAATCTAAAGATCTTGAGATAGTATTTTAGATTCCTTCAAAATCATTCATCTGTATTTATTCTCCTTTAAAAGTTCTAGAAGAACCGTAATCAAGAAAAGCAGATCATTTTCAGAGTCAACAAAAGTAAAAGTGATTTCTGGTGACAAAGTTGTTTGAAATGCTATTCATGTAATTGTAGTCATTAAAGTTGTTCCACATCTTTTCACTGATGCATAAATATTTGACATCTATGTGAAACAATTTTAATCAAATTTCAAACTGTACTTTAGAACACAAAAGATTTTATTGAGCCATGATGAATGTCAGAAACAAGGTTTAAGTTGCCATTGTGAACCTCATTTGCCAGAGTAGGTGGTCTGACTTTTGTTAGGTTTATTGTACACCTATGATAGGACATTGTCTGACTATGTTCCGAGGACAAGTCTAACAAGGATTTTGCCTTCTTTAGACTGACCTTTGACATATACTTGTCCATCAAGTGCCCTTAAAAGAATGATCAGCAGCTTTTGTATTATATTATTTTAAGATGCTAAATTTAACTTCTAAATAAAGATTTAGAACAAGTATGTTGTATAAAAGACTATAAATAAGCATATATCATTCTCTTTATGAAAAAAAAAATTGGTAATTTAAAAATAGATCGCAGTTTGGGTGCATATTTTGATTACCTTATTGTAAATTAAATCAAACAAGTACATGCAGACAGTTCTAATATTCTGTGGATGTTGTACTGAGCGTATATTATTCTCCACAGGTTGCCACTTTCTGTGATGTTGATCCCAAGAAGATCAGTTGTGGAGTCTATACATATCATGAATCTAAGGTACAAAGAATATATAGAGAGAGAGAGACAGAAAGAGAGAGAGAAAGGGGAGGGGGTTGCAGAATGATAATTGGCCATCACAAATTAATGAAACTGCTGGTCAGTAGTTCATAAATTTCTGTGTCCATAAATAGACATCATTCAAACTGTATGTAAATACAAATGTAAAATTTACTTCTGTCTAATGAGCCCTTAATAATCTAGTTTTTGTAATGGTGGTGGATTTTTCTTGAATCATTTTATCAAGTAGGTTATTGAATTGATTGTTTTATTGTAAAATTTGAGTTTCAATTCTATATCACATTCTTTTTTTAAGCAATGAATGTTAAGTCTAATAATTTTGTATTGATTAATATTTGACTCTGTGACATCAGTCATACCCAAAGTATGACTGAAATCAAGAACCATCTCTGATCTGATAATTATGTATAGTCCAAGGTGTCATCTTGTGTTATAATTTATCTGAAAAAAATTAATAATGAAAGGAAAAACATGGATTTCTTACCAAATTTCACCTCACAAGAGTATGTCATATATCTGCTTGAGAAAAAAAATCAGTTATCTGGACAACTGGTTTCTGCAAGAAATGTTTACTTTATAATGTTACAACATGAGCAGAAATTCCTAACTGTACACCACTTTAATTTAGGGTTAAATAAATTGTTTGTTCTAAAATTTTCAGGAATTCAGGAGAATTCCCTTACAAAAAATTGTTTAAGTACACAGGCACTTGACATTACATATTTTTCTTATTAAAAAAATATAACCCCATACATAATAATTAGCTGTGGGGTTATATTTTTTATACAAGAAATATATGTAATGTCAAGTGCCTGTGTTTTAGTGCTATGATTAAATGACATGATGAACTCAAAAAATGTAAAAGATAAAGGTTTACTGACTTTGGACTAAATGGATGTAATTAGAGATCTTCAGAAAAGCTAGGACAGTGTTGCTGTGAGGTGTCAACATAAACACATTTCTATCAAATTAAAAGCCTATGAATCCCTCTAAGCACCAGCTTCATATTTTGTAAGGAATAGCTTTGAATAGATTTATTACAATAAAAATATTCATATTTCACCAAAAACTGCAGGGGGTTGTTAAAACTTGTGATCAAGAAATAATGACAGGAATTTTGAATAAAGCACTGGACATGTTTGAAACAGGGGTTTGATGAAAAGTTGACTTCTGGTTCGGTGATTGACAATGGTCTGCCTGCAGACTCTGTTTCTACCAAACACAATGCAATGCATTGTCATGGTGTTCAATATCAAACAAATATTTGGAGGCTCATTTCATGAGGCACCAAACTCTGTCTGATCTTGTCCAGAGGCGGCCATTGTTCTTTTGTGGAAACTTAACATTAAGAGATCACAATGAGCGACATTTATGTCAGCGAAGAAAAAAAAATGCCAACTAAATTTGGTTAAACGTTGTTGAGATTATTGTACTAGGTGCCCCTCAGTGTTTGCTTAGATCTTTCCATTATCACACAAGTATTGACAATTCATTACAAATAAATCTTTGATTGCTTCTATACTCTGTTTGCAGACGGACATAAAACCCACAGTTCCAATTGTTCATTTTCAATCCGCCAAGCCACCATTTATTATCTGCATAAAATTGGTAAGAAACGTGCATGTCCTGTTAAACTAATTACAATTTTTACACTTGTAATTTGTGTATCAATTTTAAACCCAATAAGGGAACAAAAGTTCCAATTACTGTCAAAATGTTTGCTGTCCAATTTATTCTACATTAGTGCAATTACAAATATGTGAATATAATGAAGATATATCTAGTAAATTGAAGTTCTCAACAATTGGGCCCATATTCCAGTAGCTACCAGTAGAGGTGTTTCCAGAAAGCTTACTGAAAGGAAATAATTATTGATATATAGTTGCATGGACATAAATACAACCCTGAAACATCCTGAAACTCTAGCTGAGTTAAAGTTCCCAAACTGAATATCAAACAAGAATATTGTGCCATTTTAGGTTTGTTAGGGGACAATGTTATTTTGTTCACAATTTGTTTGAATTAAGAGATTTTATTTTCATCATATCTTAAAGGACTTATCGCATGATCTTTCAAAAATCGTAATTTTATGAAAAATATTATCTACAACCTTGTTTATTAAAATACTGAATAGAATAAACGTTGTTGAAAGCATATTTTAAGAGATATTAGGAGTTGAAATTCAAATATGGCAATATGCATATTTCAGTCGGATTTCGGCGAAATACTGCTCTGACGTCATAGGCGACAATTCAGTGATAGAGAGATGAGAATATGCACACTAATTACGGAGTTATCAACAACAAATGCAGCTTAATTACGAAAAATGCTGAAAAAATTAATGCCTAACGTGCTTCTCAATTACTATAGAAACATTAACTAGTTCTATGGTATAAGGCTTCTGAGAAATTTTCGTTTTTTATTCCAAACATTTAGAAACTGTAGCTTTGAATACGGCAATGTTTCGTGATCGGGAAATTATTTTTCAAGATCGCCATCCTTTAAAAAAACATATGAAGACTTGCATAAATTAATATTATGTTAAAAATAAAGAACAACAAAGTTATATAGTGTTAAATTTGTGAATCAAATAAGTAAATACGTGTGATAAGATGACAAATCAAATCGTATTCTGATGGCGAGTTTCTTCGTCTTCGCCGCGTCTCCCTCGCTATCGTCGATGCTATTTAAATACAATGTAAACAGATTTTTCTTGCTGCAATTCTAACATATAAGGTTGGATATTCAATTTCATATCGATAAAATAAGCGATTTGGTCATCCACAACGCAGAAAATTCAGGTTGTATCGCGTATATTTTCGTAAGATTAACGTGGAGCTGATCAGCCATTGTCGCCTTTGACGTCAGGTAACGGGACGTTTCGCCCCTATTGACGTTTCGCGCCGAGACGTTTCGCGCCAAATTTAATCTACATTGTCTACGATATATTACGATGTTTTAAGATAAATATTTATATATAAGGTTAATATTGACTGTGTTAAAAAAAGTTCTAAGGTTACTAAAAAACTTTTATGTTTTAAAAGTTGTTGAAAATAGGCTTATACCATAATTAAATGTATAATTATCCATGTGCAGATATAATTATGTTTATTCAGCAATCATAATTGTCTGATTCAGTTTTGTAATTAGGGTGTTATAACTATAATTTGGAGATTCTTCATCATGTCAAGATAAAGAGGAGAATTAAATTATGAGACGGGTGTCAAGTTCATTTTACCGTTGCTCAATAGCTAGGATGCACACTGACTCCAATTTTCTTTGCGATTTTGAGTAATGCTATATAAGCATGATAAGTTCTTATTAAAAATATACTTCTCAAAAAAATCTTTTCATATAACTAATTTCAAAAGTGACATTTCTATGCCTGTTACATCAAAATAGATATTTTTTTCTTTTAAATCATCATGTCATTAAAATAATCACGAGTTGCTGTTTTCTCACATCATAAAAAAAATATCAGGTCATTTAGAAATATCTTCTTTTTTTTAAATAACAGGAATTCATTAAAAAAAAATCAGGTCTGAAATTTTTTTTTTAAATTTTAGTGTGGTTATGGGCGGGCCGGGGGGGGGGGGGGGGATATACAGTGAAGTCGCCAATTACGGGTTATTGATTTAACCAATGGATTGGATTTATATAGCACAGTACAAAAGTTATTAAGAAGTTAATAATTGCTGTTAACAAGTGATAATTACCACATAATTGATTAATTGATCTTCGGCGCGAACCGTCTTGGGGCGAAACGTCTCAGCGCGAATGGTCTTTCGGGGCGAACCGTCCCGCACTCTTGACGTCACAGGGTCACGTGATCGCTATCTAATTAACTTGGATTTTTAAATCAGGGGTTTTCATTTGAGTTAATAATTGATTAACTACCGCGATTTATCTGCAGTAAAAACACAAAATTTTAAACTGTGGTCATAAGGAACGTTTTATGCTTTTAATTTCAAATAATTTAGAAACATGCAATAAGTCCTTTAAGAGGGGAGTTATAAGATGAATTGTTCTACAAGAATCAAATAATTTCAAATACATGTAATACACCTATACCAAAATTTAATACCAAGTTAATAATTCCAAATTTTTCATAATTCAATGTTTCTGGCATTGTGACTTTTATCAAGATACATGCAACTCTCAGTAAGCATGTTCAAAGTGAGAAATTTGACCGAAACTGGTATCAGATATTTCAACCACATTCCAAGTAGAACTCTTCTAGTTGCACAAATAACCCTCCTTTATTGAAAGCAAGTATTATTAATTTACATAGGTACAAGGATATATCTCTACTCTTTGCTTGATTCAAAAAATTAGGCCATCTTTTAAAAAATGTTTGTTTTCCCTCTCTGGACTCCGGAATTTCCCTAGAAAATTCAACATCAGCGCTGAATTTTCTAAATTTACTGAAAAGAAGATGCTAATACAATCAAAATATTTGTTGATGGGATGAAAAAATTCAGGAATGAATTTTAAAAAAATTTATCATTTCCTAGAGGTTTAAAAAAGTTTTGAGTCGGGACAGTTTTAGTAAGGAGAGGGCAAAAAGAATTTTTTTTAAATATGGCCTTTGTCTTTTCAAACTTAAAACTACCAAAACTCATTTAATAATTTTTGATAAATTAATTATTAATTGCAGCTTATATTTGCCATTCTGAATTAATTACAGGGCTTAACAGGAGGTGAATTTGAAAAGAATCTTGAATCACTGAATCTCAAAGAAGGAGTTGATTTCTTCCATTTCAACTAGGGAAAAAGGAAGGAAGTGGGCAGTGCGACTAGCCAGGGATTTTGACTTCAGACTAATGATGGAATATAAGCTGGACTTTGTTTAAATGGTGATTTATGCACAACAGTTAAATACAGTAAAACACACTTTTAACAATGTGCCAGGGATTGATAATTCTCCTTCCTCATAAACATAATTCGTTATGTCCATCAAGTTCACAGTACATTTTTTAATAACCACGGGGAAGGAAAATCACTTAGCTGTATGTATGAATTTATTTTAAGCTTTAACACTTTTACTGCAAATGAATTTAGAGACTAAAATGCAACAAAATCTTATTTAATTGATTTTAGTGCATAATTTAAGATTGATTTAAATACACAAGTTAAGGTTGATTTCAATACACAAATTTAGGTTCATTTAATACACAAATTAAGATGTCTTAAAAGTTTGTACATGTGTTATGAAGAGGACCATTAGACATTGCATGTCCTTACAAATTACATTTTTCTTGACACATTATTCTTTCATGAAGTGATTTCAGTGCAGTATGGATTAAGATACTGATTCAGCATTAATGATTTTTCACATTGAATCTTCGTTAATCAATCCCAAAGCAGAGTCAAAAGGAAAGATACATGTATATTCAAACATCTGCATCATTAACTTTGTTCAGCTATTGCACATGAAAATATTTTAACCAATTTTCTTAAAACATCTTGAAATTCTGTATTAAGTATATTAGCTAGAACACTATACTGTAGTAAACTTATGGGAAAAAACAGTTCGAAAAAATTTACTGTTACTGTACTATGTTGCAATTGGCTTTATACAATTGAAATGTTATTAAAGTGTATTACTTGACTTGTTAAGTTTAAAATAAGTATTCTTTCAAATGCGGTTTTTCTGTAAAACATGGGAGATGATGTTACATGTACTTCCTCCCATCTTTAGTGGAGGGAGAAATGGTGTTGATATCTCAAACTGTGTTAAAGTATTCAAAATGAATCTTTTCAAAATAAAACTTGAGGGAAAACAAAATCCTTAGTTGTGTGTATTTTGCCTTTTATATTGGATTGCCTGCCATAACACATAAATGTACCCTGTCTCCTATATGAAGTTTCAAAGATCACTTTTGTGTGAAACAATCAGAGACAATTGTTTGATCAAGTACATCCTTTATAGATGTATTATTCCAAGAACTTGCATATTATTGGATAAAATGTGCAGGTGTCATAACAGTACTTCAGTTTGAGGTTCACGTCAAAACATGGCTGACGCAAAATAATTCCTGAATCCCCCCTCCCGATTCGGGTATTTTGGAACGAGACTGGAGCTGAATTTTTTTAGAAAATGAAAAACTATATGTAAACTTCCTGTATCGACCAGATTCATTATAATTGAAGGCCTGCTGATTTTTCTATATACTGTATTTGATTTTCAAGCACCTGCTCGACTTCAACCGAAACAAACTTGTGTTTACTGGATGGCTATTTCTTTTTGGTACTAAAATCTTTACAAAGAATTGTTTTACAAGATCTGAAAAAGGAAACCTCTCAAAAGTTTGTTTTGAATTAAGACCACCTACTCAAAGTTGCACATTTTTGGTAAGAATATATAGCAAAATTTAATACTGTTGTGCAACCTACATGTACAGGGATATAATGGATTGCTCTATCAAGGGCAGTAACTCTGATATTCATACATAAACACAAACAAAAGAAAGTGCACATATTTATTTCACAATTTGTGAGAGAGAATTGCATTGTCCAAAAAAGCAGAAAAATCATGGCATTTTTAAACATTCAACTGATAAAGAAATAAAGCATGTATTTATATTTTGCCAGCTGTTCTGTTAATACAAACTTTCCATCAGCCTAACCTGATTTGTGCATATAGTATTGTTGCTATGGAACATTGAACAATGTACATATCACATGTACTGATAATTAGTTCCAATATATTCATAGTATAAACTATACTGCAGATGTACTGCTGACAAAGTTGCACATTCTCTAATGCAAAACAAGCCCTCTGCTACACTATATAGCATTCTGTCCAATGTATATAATGTACAAACTCCAATTACAAGTGCACAAAACTTCCTAAGAATCATTTCTCTGTCAAACAATCTGATCTTACACAAGCTCTTGAATCAGAATGTAGATGTCATAATGTAACAATTCATAAGGTCATAAAATCTATAAGGTTTAAATAAACCTTCACTTTTTGACATTGATACTAACTGATCTATTACAAATTAACAAGTCACCAATTAAACCAGACTACAGGAAATTCACCCTGTGTCAGCCTGGTCTTGTAAAAATAATCAGTGAGAGAAAAACTGATTCCAGTTATCTGCCTACAAAATCATAAATTCTTTCAGATTCAGTCCATTAAAAAAAATGATGCAACTTTTACTATTAAAGCAGAAAACACTGAAGTCAATATTTCCCTCACTGAGCTTTCCCCCCTGCAATTTCTTAATTAAGACCTTCTTCCATTAATATTATATAAGAGGTCTTCTTATACAAACATGATCACATTTTATCACAACATTATTTCTAATGAATCAAAAACTGGATGTTACAATATAGAATTGTAATGGTCATAGTTCTCTATATATATTCAATTTGGTAACACAATAGTAAATTCAACACTGTTCATCACAGAAAATTATATCTTCAATTTCTCACATCAGTTGCTTAACTGAAAAAAAATCATTTGTTAGAAAAATAAAACTGTAACAACTTCCATTTTTTGGATCACAAAACTAAGCAAACACAAAACATGCAAGCCAACTGCAACGAAAATTTATCAGATGTGTACAAGATACACAATTCTAACAGTGTCACTGAGACCCCAAGTCCATAGGGACTGTGAACTTGGCTGCAATTCGGGGCTTGCGAGGGGATTTCTTTGGCGATTCAGACTTGTCACTCAGAGTGCTGGAATCTGATTTGATGGAGCTGGTCTCAAGAGGCAAATCATGTCGAAACATCTCGTCATATGACATTTCCTCAGAAGCAGCACAGGTATGCTCCAGCTTTCCCTTGCCCAGATTTTTGGGTGGCAAGTGGAGGGCCTGTAAAATCTGTTTAGCAGCCAACTCTTGTAGAGGGGATGACTGGTACTTCAGATCCTTACCATTTCTCTCAGCATCCTCTCTCCTTGGCTTATCTGCTGAAACAGATGGACTAGATTTATCAGCACCTTTTGTTTCCTCTGACAGGTTCTTCTTAAATTGGTCAATCTCATTCCCATTAATTTTCCACCATCCACTGCCCTTGATTAAGTCGAGTAACTCTTGACTGGCAGACTTTTTCTCCTCTTTAGATCCAGGCTCGGTGGAGGGAGGTCTTGAGATTAAACATTGGGCAGCCAGCTGTAGGAGCTCAGATGTTGGTGTCCTACAAAGAGGGGTCTTCTGTCCCTTCTTTTCTTCCTCACTTAGACTCCATATTTTCTCTGTTATATCTGAGTTTAAAAGTTACTTTAAATGAAATTTAATATTCCAAATTTTTCTCAGTAATAGAGATCTACTTTTGATTTATTAAACGTCATACCTTTTCACAGAGAAGAAACTTTTATCAAAGGAAGAAAAAAATGCCTTTTAAAATAATTGTGGAATTGATAAATATTCTGAATGTTTCCAGTGTAAATACCTGTAACACTTTCAAACTTCATGAGATCTAATTGTCTTGCAACAGGACGCAGATCAGGGGAGGGAATGGCTGAAGGAACTGGGGCACCCAGCAGATCTACTGCAGGTCCTGATGAATGCTTCATAATGTCCTCCACTGAAAGATATAGCACAAAACTGTTAAAGCAAACCTTGTGTGATGATAAAATTTAACTTTGCACCAAAAAGGTCACATCCAATCCAGAGAAATCAGTAATTGTATCTATTATTCCCAGAGAAGTAAGATTTCATGGGATTCTTACTGAACATAAAGATGATCTAAAGAGAATGTAAACCTGGCCGTAGTAAATAAAGTCAGGAATCAAACACTCATGACGATTAACTCTCTTGCTATTTAAAAATTGAAAATAAAATTGTTTATGACAAGAATAAAGGATACTCCATTTTAGTCCCTAATAGGTATTTGCACAATTTTAATGAAGCCCATTAAGAACTGTTTTTTCCTTTGTATTAACCTTCTGGATGTGTATCTGTAACTCCTGAATCACTAGACTGAGTATCAGAATCTGCAGATGGTGACAATCTGACGAGGCCAGAGATTGGTGACATACTCCCTGTTGAAAAAATTTATGCATGATTGTCTTCATCAAAAAAATCTTTTTGACATGTGCAGTTCGAAAAGACTGAAGGATAAAAATCAATGAAACTTACCTGAAAATTCATCTGCAAGCTGTACAAATTTCCTCTGGCCTTTCCCTCCAAAAGTCACAATATGTGGAATTGCCTGAAGTAGTGCCTCAATAGTGGGACAGCCATACAAAGCAGGCTTGATCTCAATTCCAAAGTTCTCCCTGAAGGCTGTGTCAAAGTGAGACACAGCTATCTGTGTGTGCTTATGTAGTAGGATACGAGTGTCCCTGGCAAAAATCTGTAGGGCGGTCAGACTGATGACCTCTGACTCATCATCCCCTGTCACCTGTATGCAGCAATAAAAAATAGCTAAAAGGGAGGTAACTCTTAACAAAAGAATCTCTCTGAATGCAACAGCAATTAGGATAGATAAATCTGTGAGAATTTTATTTAAAATCTTATCCAGTTTAGATCTTAAGCTCCTTAAATCATAACAAAATCCTTTTAACAAGAGGCCCATGGGCCACACCGCTCACCTGAGTAACTTTGGCCATGCTGTTCTTTACCAGATTCTCCCCCTTTTAATATACCTATTGTGGCTCCGCCCTACCCCCGGGGGTCATGATCTGAACAATTTAGAATCTGCACTACCCCAGGATGCTTCCAAATAAGTTTCAGCTTTATTGGTCCAGTGGTTCTTGAGAAGAAGATTTTTAAAGATTTTTCTTATATATTTCAATGTAAAACTTGGATTCCCTATTGTGGCCCCGCCCTACCCCCGGGGGTCATGATTTTTACAATTTAGAATCTACACTACCCCAGGATGCTTCCAAATAAGTTTCAGCTTTTCTGGCCCAGTGGTTCTTGAGAAGAAGATTTTTAAAGATTTTTTCTTATATATTTCATTGTAAAACTTGGATTCCCTATTGTGGCCCCGCCCTACCCCCGGGGGTCATGATTTTTACAATTTAGAATCTACACTATCCCAGGATGCTTCCACATAAGTTTCAGCTTTTCTGGCCCAGTGGTTCTTGAGAAGAAGATTTTTTAATGACCCCACCCTATTTTTGTCTTTTCTTGATTATCTCCCCTTTGAAGGGGACTTGGCCCTTTATTTTAACAATTTACACTCCCCTTCACCCAAGAATACTTTGTACCAAGTTTGGTTAAAATTGGCCCAGTGGTTCTTGAGAAGAAGTTGAAAATGTGAAAAGTTTACAGACGGACGGACAGACGGACAGACGGACGGACGACGGACAACGGGTGATCAGAAAAGCTCACTTGAGCTTTCAGCTCAGGTGAGCTAAAAATGAAACTGTTTAAGTATGTTTTCTAGAATATACCCACCTGCACATAATCTAGTAATTCCTCTTTGATCTGTTTGATGTTACACTCAGTACCATGTGTGGACAGATAGCGACTACAGAGCTCCATCAGGGGAAGACTTCCACCACTCTGATCCATCAACAATTGAAGTACCTGCTTGGCTAATGGAGGAATGGTATTGCGATCTGTCAACATCACATACTTACAGCGATTCACCATCTCCACCTACAATAGTTGAGGAATAATATTCATTAAATTGTTGAACTAGATTTAGTCATACTAAATTTGGACACAGTTGCAAGTGACAACTTCAATTTCAATTTGCTTTTTAAATGATTTTCATATTTCATATGAACAAGTCAAAAGATACATGATCATCAACTTTTTGAAAACATATAACTGCATACAATATAGTTTAAATTTGAAACAGTAATTTACTTTTAAACACCAGGTTGTATGAGTATGTACCTTGACAACATGTTTCAGCTTATTGAGGAGGTCTTCTTCACAGTCCACTCCAAAATCATGTAGTGGGATGTTAAAGCCATAGTGACAGGTGAAGGCTGACATTAGATGATGGAGGGCTACACATTCATTTTTCTGGGCTTTTAAAAGACCGATGATCTGTTCAGCCAGGATCTTACGAAGCTCAGGTTCTGTCAGGTAGATCAACCTTTCCTCACCTTCCTCCTCAATCTGTAAACAGGTATTACTTGTAATAACCCAATTAAAAAATCAATAGTAGCTTACAATTTGTTAGAAATAGATAAAAATCTAATGGAACTCTTGTAGACTAATATCCTATATCTAAATTTCCAAACAAAATGATGTGAAGTATAAAAAAAAAAAAAATCAATGAATATAAAAATATCTGGTTGCTTGGTTTTTTTTCTTCAGCCCTTCAAGAATTGTTCATACTGGAACACCATCAACTACCCCAAAGGATGCAAATTTAGACCTGTGCTTGAAACTTATAGTCATTGAGCAGTGAGGTTTTTTTTCATCTCAGCCATCATACTCCCGACACTTACCTCTAAAACATGTGGGATAGCTTCAAATAGATCTAGAAGTTTACTAAAGCCATAATCTGACACTCTGCATTGTCTACCAAAGTGATGGTGATAGGCTGGGATGAACTTATTGAATGGCATCCTACATTGGGGGTTGTGCTTCAGAAGGTCCACCACTTCTAATGCAAACTGTTTAGTTCTTTCTATCTCCTCAGGACTCTGGTCTAATAAATAAAAATGAAATTTTATGTGTGGATCCTAGTTCCTTCGCAATGTAGTATATTCAATATATTCCTGAATGCAACATTTCTATAGTGAGGACTTTGAAATTTGCTATAAAATAATTCATAGCAATTTTAATACTGTCAGGCACACAAGACTGCCTGTAACTTGTGATTCATAATTTTTGGACTGGAACGTAAGTTTTTTTTTTCTTAAAGGGAGGCTAAAAACACACATAAGATATATTAAGATATAAAAAGGAATATTTTATATTTACTGAAGAACTCGGTTGAAATTTCATGATTGTAAAAAAAAAAATTGTCTATGTACACAGTGTAAAAGAAGAATGTTGCGTTTCCATCCCCATTAATGATTTTCCCTTCTAAATTAACACATAAAATTGAGAAAAATTGGGTTACAAAAATTTTTGAAATTTTTTAACATAAATTTAATTTTTTGCCTTTCTATTAAACTACATACCTTTTCTTGGGAGAGTGACAGTGCATTCCTTCCCTTCATTTGAAACCTGCATCATACAGTACACACAAATGAAACAATAATCTACATTAGTGAATTAATTTGGCGATTTAACTTCACAGCAAACAGAAATTTACAAGATACTTGATGTAGTTGATCATTATGCTCTAGACCTACAGGGCTAACCTACCACAATAGAAGTTGCTGGAAGCTCAGACAACAGATCATCCAAGTAAGCCATTCCATATTCAGCCACATCAAACCTCTTATTGAATGCCAGAGCTGGATTGGAAAGCAACAAATAATGAAGAAATAAACTTTACATAAAGATGATCTAAAACATTGAAATGTTTCTTTGAATGTAATTGCACATAACATGTTAAAAAAAAAAACCCTTACAAAAGGCCTCAGGAATGGCAGAGGCATACAACTGTTTGCCTGGCTGTGACTTGAGTATTTTGGTGAGGTCTGATGTGAATCGTCGTAACTGGGCCTTGTGACTCAGTGTCAGCATCTTTCTATCCCCTGTTCCTAGTACCTAAAACAGACAAGAGTTAGCTGGTAACTTCATTCAAAGTCCACTGAATTTCAAACCAAATCAAGGAACTGTTCATTTGAATATTTTTAAAATGGTTTATTCTGCATGATAAGTTATGACACACAATGCTTATGTCAGCTATAACATCCTTACATGTAGTTACAAAACTTAATGTTGGTTCACATTTCATTCATACACTGTATATTTTACCTGTACAACATGAGGAATGGCTTCAAACAAATCTTTGAGTCTGTTGTAGCCGTAGTCTGCCACACGACACTGCCTGCCAAAGAAGTGGTGATAGGAGGGAATAAACTTGCTGCAGGGCATACGACACTGGGGGGACTGCTTCAAAAGGTCCACCATCTCACGGCTAATTTGACTAAATTGCTGGCTCAGGAGGGGGCTGGTGCAGGTCCTGCTTTGTTCAGCTGCTATTAAATGCATCAAAATTCCAGTTAGTATCAATTTTCAATATTTGAATACCATGTAATGATGACTTTCTGACCTATTTAAAAAAACAATAGAGATCTTCCTCACAATATAAGTGGAGTAATACTATTAACAATTAATATGTGAAATCTAATGGAATGTCTGCTTATTCACAATCAAAGGGATAAAAAAAAAATACCCAGCAGCTACATAAGTGAGATATATAATAACTTAAAACTACAATCAAAAAGTGCAATTTCTTTAATTCGCAATATATGCTGCTCAAAAGTTCTTTCTTTAAATATTCATTTTTTGATAGTTTAGAAAGCCAAAAAAGACAAGAATTTCTTGGCATGAAGAAGTTCTCCTTAACAATTGATCATCAGAATTAAATACTTACTGATCTGAGATGGAGGTTTATTTTCGGCCCACTGTATCTTTTTTACACCTGAGCTGGACACCTGTATCTGAATTCCTGGAACACAGCTTATCAGGTGTTCTAGAGGCACCCCTCCTTCTAAAACCTCTGAGATGGCTGAAAACTCAGCCCCATAGCAGGCAGAAAAACTATTACAATCAACAGAAAGAATAACAAATATAGAAACAGACCTTGAAGGTAAAAATTACAAAGTAATATTGTTTCTCTCCTTTAAATTTTTTCTTATAAAGTTGTTTATATGCCTTAAAAAGAATTAAATAGCAACTGGATAATTGCTCATGTATTTACAAACCTCATAAGTGGCATGTTTCCCTCATGACTAAGCAGCAAGGTGTGAACATCTGCAGCAAATGTTTTTAAGCGGATTTTGACTAGGGGCAACATGCATCTATTGACAGCCTCTGCGTATGCAACAGAGCCCTCTGGACAGTGTTTTAGACACACAGGCTGCTCCAGGATCTCAGTCATGTCCCCATCCCCAGGTTCAGAGCAGGGAGTCGTGGACAAAGGAGGGGAGGAGTTTGCAAGGTAGACCATCCTCCCTGCCCCTCCCTGCTCTCGGATTTCAATAGTGTCCCTCATCTTATACAGCTCTGATACACTGATAGTCCTGTGGTACCTGAATAAAATGATGATCATGTAATATATTATATCTTACAATGTTGCAATGTAAGTTTGTATTTATGAATAACCTTTGTAGTTTACTACCAAATATTTTTGTTTTAAACATTCTTACCTTTTATCAAAAAGTTCAATGAATTTGAACAATGGCAGAACATTTCCTTTTGCTTCTGAGAGAAGGGCTACAGCTTCCATTCTGCAATCAGAGAGAACAAAATGTAGTAAAATCTTTCTCATAAAGAAGTATAAACATCCTTACCATGTACGTGCAATAAATTTTCAACTTTCAAATAGAAAAATATCATTATTAAGCATGTGAATTCTAAACCTGGTGCTGGAAGCTGGACGCTGTGTATCCTCATTCTTTAAGGTCACATGGATCCGTTTGTATCCAATCTTTTTGCGGTGGAATTGTGAGATAGCAAACCTAGCCTCCTCTATACTAGGAACTTTAACCATTCCTAGACTTGTGTTATCTGGCTGTGTCTTCACATGAACATTCAGAACCTGTTAAAAAAATAAATACTTGATTTCTGAGTTGACAATTAACAAATTGCACACATTTTTTGTACATTTCATGATCTTTAGAATGTATTTTTTTAAAAGCATAATACTAGCCATTTTGCAGCAACAGATTGATCAATAAATCAAACTTACACCAAATGAAATTTAAATCATGTAACTCATAAATAAAGCTGATTTTGAAGGCATAATCAGATAACTTTCATTTATTAGACATTTATACATACCCTAACATGAGGATGAAATGTTGTAAACAAGATTTTTCTCCACTCCTTAGCACTGATGTTGTAGTCAAGGTTAGAAACCATCAGTTCTACAGGTCCGGTCAGTGAATCCCAGTCCCCCTGGTCAATCTCCACAGAGGAACCGCTAGAAGAACTGGGACAAGGTGAGGGACTTGTGATTGGTTGAAATGTGTACACATTCCTGTCATTGAAATCTCTATCTGATTCATAGTTTCCATAATTTTCTCTGTTTCTGTGATCATACACTGGATGCATGGAGGATTCATTTGGATAACCATTTTGCTGATTTCTGCGAAAATTTTGTGGGTTACCTTCATATAAGCTTCGATAAGAACTATACGAAGTGAAGCTACGATTGTTTTGGGAACCATAGTGATAGAAACTATTGGAGACATTGTAACCATGGTAATTATTGTAATCTGGAGGATGATGGGAATAGTTTTGTCTATTTTGGTAGCCATGGTAATAATTGTAGTGGGAGTAAAATGGTTGAGGGGGAGTGTGGTGTTCCTCGGACTGCCACTGTCCCTCCTGATACAACTGCTGCTGTAACATCAGAACATGGCGACTCCCTCTGTTGTCCTTCGAAAATTTATCCACAACATTTTGTATTCTTGTTGTTGTCGATGTTACATCTTTGTCAGTGGAAGTGGTAGCCATTTCCCTTGGCTGAGATTTATTTTTAGTTTCCTTTTCTGATTTTGGAGATTTCTTTTCTTCTGATTTTGATCTCTGATTATTCTTAGCCTTTGTATTTTTGGATCCTGTCTGTGAAGTTGGAGATGGAACTTTTTGTGATTGCAATTCATTGGAATCTGAAATACAATTTTAAATACAAAATAATGGGAACTGATGTATTTTTTATTTAGCTCAAATTTTCATTATTAGTAGAATCACTTCTATTGGCACATTGTTTTAAGCTAAATTTCTTTGTACCAACTTTCCTCACACTTCAAATCATCCAATGAGTATAACACTTTCAAAATCAGAGAAAATAACCCTACCTCAAAACATAAAAAGATGAAATTTTCCACTAATTTTGCTAAACTAGTAAAATGTCCAAAAGACTTACCATTACTTGTGTTGGAATTACTTTTGGAGGTTTGAGGAAAGTTCACTTTTATCTTATTTCCATACACATCCTCACCCTCCATTCTAATCCTTGCTCTGAAAGAAAGGCAATGCTACAAGAACTGATCAGGACTTACAGAGAGTTTAATTCTGATTGGTTAAAAGTGTTCATGTTTACACATTAATGGAAGTTGTCTCTCTTGTAAAAGAGTGTTTGATTAGTACTCTGTTGTGGTGGATCCAGAAATATGGGTAAATTGTATCAATTACAGCAATTGGTTTTTATTTGTAGTTTACTGCAGACACTTGCATCTCATTCTCCTCTACCACAGTTATTTATGTTCATACTCAATACTTGGAGTTATGAATTCAATGTGTTTATAAAATTCCCCAACAATATTTAGCCATTATAAAATATTATGCTTGTATACTTTGAAGCATTCCATTCTAGCAATTACTAAGTGGTGTTTTGATAGTTTGACTAAGCTGGTATTTTTTATTTCATTAAAAAAATTATATATACAAATATATAACTTTACAAAACTACATATTTTCTGAAATCTTACAGAAACATTCACAATAAAAATATGATATCCAAACATATTTTGAATTTCTTTGTTTTTTTTAAGAGAATATGTCTTATCCTTCTAAAAGAATATGTATCACAGTTCCCACTGCATGCCAATGTCACTAGTCAAACATAATGACTTGTAAAATCTTACTTTGTTTATTTACTTATTTATTTATTATTTATTAATTTATTTCTTCATCATTCATTATTTTTTTTGATTTTCTTTTTTGTTTTTATTTTTAAATTTATTTTTGAGTTTCAGAACTATTAATGTCTCTCTGCTTGCTTATCTGACAAATTGCATCTTGTAACTTGTTTCTCAGGACTATATCAGCACTGAAGGATATTGACAACATAACATACTGTATAAGAACATACAATTAACTTCATAATCATTTAAACAAAAAAAAGTGCTTTCTTTGGTTGTTAGTATGGGAATTAATGTTGCAGCTGTTGCAGATAAAAATGCATAATTTTTTTCCAACCAAAGAAAGACATTTTATTGTTTATTTTTATATCTGTGCAAATAATCACTTAAAGTAGGATTAAGTAGGTTAAATATTGAATTATTGATATACATCATTGTAAGTTTCATTGATGGAAGAGTCACTGCTCAAGAAAGTTGTTGAGGTGATATATACTTAGCGGTGTTTACAGACTGATATACAACAATAAAGGAGATAGTATTCAGTGGATGTAAATATATAGTGATTATTGGCAATTCACCATCACTGCACAATACAAATACGTATATGGACATGCACATGCATGTATGTTTAAGTTGTTCAAGTTAATGTCAAGATCTAGAAAATAAGTTTAGACACTTTTTGGTGCCAGATCAATTATATGATGTCAAACTTAAATCACTGACTTTTTCATGTACAGTACTTTACAGCTATCAAAATGAAGCATTCTCATGGCATTCAATTTGAAGTCATGTGAAAAGTAATCAGAATATGAATACCCATATTCAATCTAATAGTATTTCAAAGAAGAAGTCAAGAATATACAAGTTACCTTTTTCTAAGAAATAATAGGCAACTCGAATACATTTCATTTGTGTTTTATTGAAAAAGCTGACTTTTTTTTTTCATTTTTCATTCAAAACAATAGTTTAAAACACATTACATGTACTTTGTTGTGTTTACCAAACAAATATTCTCTGATAAAACCTTATATAACCAAGATATTATAATTCAGCATCGAATTCATTTCTCAAGCTTAAGTTGAGAAACCTGAAGGCTCCTTTCATTTACTGGATCTTGACCATGAGTAAATGATACTTATTTCTTGAAATATCATCATGAAAAGATTCTATATCATCTATATGTCAAGGCTTTTCTAGCATAATATCAATGAAAGGTTGTATGTAGTTTTAGCAAGTGCTGTGTATTAGTTCTTGATCCATTAATCAAGAATGAACCCTTTATCAAAATTTAAATGAAAACACTGGAAGTAAAATGAAAATTCATTTACGTACTTGACTGCATCATTATGACATGAGAATCGTAAGACAGCTGTTTCCTTGGAGACACAGACGACTCGTCCTCCACAGTTTACGGACAACTTCTTTAAGCGATTCTGGATTTTCTTTTCACTGACATTGTTAGGCAGTCCTGTCACCTCTAACTCTAATCCTCCATCCTCAACCTTTTAAATAAGCAGCATCAAATGAGGAATATTTCAAGTATCTCCTTTTTTTTCATTTGAACTTCTAAAATATTTGTTTGAATACCTACATCTATGCATGTTACTTTTCGCTAACAAAAGATCTTTGTCCACTTTCATTTATACATTTACTTACATTGATTTGCTTTAAATCAATGTACAATTGAACTATCCTCCCATATTCAAATGTAGAAAAAAAAATGTAGATAAATTTGGAATTTTCAAGTAATTGTGATTATGTAATTTGTTTTTCTTTTGAAAAAATAAACTGTCATTTTGATGAAGGTGCCTCTTTGAATCAATCACTCATGACTAGCTATATTCAACAGATTATAAATATATGTACAGTCAAATCTTGTTATCTGTAACCCAATGAGACCAAGAAAAAAACTTTAAGAAATCAGAGGGTTTAAGATATTGAGGGTAAAATACTTAAGAGAAAAAGTGCTTGGGACTTGCAAATCACTTCAAAATACCCATGTTATTTGAGATATCTGCATTTGAGATCCAAAGTCAAGCTGTATATATATATATATATATATATATATTAAACAAATATAAAAAGAAAACACAAGAATCCTCCTTACGGAGGATTCTTGTGTTTTCTTTTTATATTTGTTTAATATTGTAATCCGATTACTGAGACTTTATTTCAATTTTGGATATATATATATATGTATATATATATATATATATATATATATATATATATATATATATATATATATATATATATATATATATATATATATATATATAATATGCAATTTATGTTTTCTTTTGAAAAAAAGAAACTGTCGTTGTGGTAAAGGTGCCTCTTCAAATCAATCACTCATAACTGGCTTAGGCTATATTCATGATGATCCGATCAATAGATATACATGAATAAATTTAAATTCATGTACATGTAAAACACGGCATTTCATTGCTACAGGTATGTCATGGATGAGTGTTGCATATTTTTTTTGTTTAACACTTGAATGATGAAATATTGGAAAGCAAGTCAAAGATGTTGTACATATGTACTTGTCAAGTACACAGAATGAACTTCAATGAAGCAATCATAAATAATTATTTTGTGATTTTGTACTAGATGTATCCATATGGATTAAATGGTCTATATGGCTCAACAAGACTGGATAAAATAATCAATATGAATCAACAAGTTTTGAAAAAAAATTCTTTCATTAGTATTTAAACAACATTGATATATTTACAGCTTATTCAAGTAAAATAAAAATATTGTAAAATAAAAAAATTATCCATGTATCAAAGAAAATTGTGAAGTAAAATACATGTATACTCACAACTTCTGCTTGGCGTTTTGGAATATCTTTTACAAGTTCTTCATAAACAATGTTTTTTGTGGCACATATTTTCAGGGCCTCTGAAACTTTGCGACTATGTATCAAAACAACATCAAATTTTTTTCTGTGTCTCAAATCAGATAAATCAGCAGCGAAATTTACATCAGCTGAAAAGAAAATGTAAACAGTCACAAGATATTTTCATTATTACGTGTGCTAACTATAGTTTTTTTTAGTATTAACAACAATTTTTATCTACATATACAGAACAATAAAAAGTTGGTTAAGCAGTGTTATATTTATCTGTCAATAGTCCCTCAGGGTTTTCAAAGGGTTTCCAATATCCTATTTAGTGAATTAAAGGTACTTTTCCTGAATGCATTTCAAAGAAAACTTACTTAAAGTCAATTTTAATTTCATATACTTTTCTCAATGATAGAAACTGTTGAATTAATATTTGACAATCAGTAAATCATAATTTGAAGAGAGTAAAATTTATTTTAGGATACAGGTCTTATATGAGAGCATGCCTACTTACTGGATATCAGCACCACAGTAGCAGGGGGAGAGTGTGTGTCTGCGAACCGTCTCAGACTCTGTCGGATTTTATCATCAGCTGCATTCTTACTAGTGGCATTGATGTGAACAACATTAATCTGGCAAAAAAAAAAAAAAAATTATGAATTTAATACATTTTAATGTCAGGGGCTGACAAATAGATTTTTTTAGGCACTTGTCCAAGGGCAAATGCATGGTCAAAATTCACTTGCCCTACCTGAATTTTTGCTTGCCCCACCATCATGACCATAAACTAATACTGTATATATTTATATATATTTCAAAAATAGGAAGACAAATAATGAGTAGATCATGCAAGCCCCTGTGTCTAGCTATATTTCTTTGACTTACATAAGGATTCAATTTTTTAAAGTCACTTACCCATGGGCAAGTGGTTGATAAAATTTCACTTGCCCACCTTTAAAATTCACTAGCCCCGGGCGTCGGGCAATGGGATTTGTCATCCCCTGCATGTCTTTAATGATACTGACAAAATAAATCTAAAACATGGGACTCAAATACATGTACTGAACTGTATTTTAGTTTGTATAAATCTGATTCAATATGTTTGATTGTACCTGAGCAAAATTGAGTTCCTGGATGACATCTTTACTTTCCTTGCTGGTGTCACAGACACACATAAACTCCACCTCCCTGTGGTCAGTAAACAGAGATTCTCGGATGACCTGGACAACAGAAAGAGCAGATTTCCATCTGGGAATGGAGCAATTTTCAATGTCCCAGAAGACTCCTATTGGTGGGAGATTGCCAGACATACTGTAGTGATGAACTTAAAAAAGAAAATCATAATAAAGCATTCATAAAGGTTACAAAGCTTTTAGTGAATGTACATGATATCAGGGGTGTGCAATTAGCATCGCCCGACGCCCGGGGCTACCATTTTCGGGGGTCGGGCTAGTGGTTTTCTGCACGGAGGTAGCCCCTTGGGCTAGTAGAAATTAAAACTACACATGTAATACATGAAAAGCACAACCGGTATTTTCACTCATTTTTTTGCTCTTAAATTCCCAACCAGTGAACATTTTCCAGGCTGCATGCTCCTATTGTCCATAAATCTCCATAATCTTATCCATTTTGCAGTACTACCTGACTTATTTACTTCAAAAACCGATCGTTTTTTTCCTAATCCGAATTTCCTCCATTCCTTTGTTTATGGTAAATACATGCAGATATCTCATTAAATTATTTTAATAAAAAGAATTACCTTTAGAAAGTACCCTGACTTTTTCAACAATTAACTTTTTTTCAATATTAGTTTTTAATTTTTGCCTCTATATTTGGGCTCTTAACTTTTTACTTGGGGCTAGTAACTTTATTGCTGCCACTAGCCCGTGGGCTAGTACTTGAATTTTTTAATTGCACACCCCTGGATATTCCCTACATTAATTTGACATACATGTGTACTAAAGGAAAGGTTTCCAAATCTATAGTGTTTTAAAGTAAAAATATTTCAACAGTCTTTAAAAAAATTATTTTTAAATACATAGTTAGTACTTACATTACACGAAAATAAAGCAGTGGAAAGCATATGAGATGGATTGTGGTGAATAATTTCATTATAGAGCTTCAGGTGATGATGGGATTAAGAAATGAAGTCTCACTCCAACACCATCACCGGCCATCCTACAGACTCCAAACAACCTGTAAATATCATCAAAAAGGTTAGTCATTGTTCATAGGCATACTTTGTTAAAAAGTATTAAAAAGTACTCTGTAAACATTCATCCCAGATTCAATTTGGTAAAACATAAGCATGATAAGTATGATAAATCTAAATAAAGAAGAAGTGTCATAGTCAAATCACAACAAAATTTGATGATATTCTAACATCTTCTGCATGTATATCGGCAATTTATGTCAAAATTTTGTGACAGAGAAAAGTGGGATAATTTTGTTTTAAATTGTGAACATGTTTTTTTTTCTTTAAATTTAGACTTGATGCAAAACAGAATAATTCACCAAGCATGTATTAACATAACACTTTTAGCCTTAGTATCATTATGTTTTAATTTATTTTTGTCAAGAGTGATTAAAGCCTCAATATTTACATAATAAATCCTTAACTTTTGTTTATCAGCAAAATCCATTGTTATGAAAACTTGTCAAGCTACAATACATTTATTATATTGGGAATTGAATGACAAAATAAATGTTGGCAGTTGCAGATGTTATTGATTAAAATACAAAAAATAGATGCAACTAATTGTAGTTCTAATAAATCTGCAGTTCTTGATTTCTTTATATGCCAGTCTGTTTAGAGCCCTGCACAGTATATATATATCAATATGACAATATACTTTTTATAAAGAAATTAACCATGCTTTTGACATTAGAGCAGCCTGAATGAAATTTAAGATTTTTTCCTTTAATATCCCTATTTTTCAATAATATTATAAAAAAGAAAAGAAAATGTAGATACCTGCATATCAATAAAATTGAAATTGCGTAGACCTTGGCCTACATGAATATTGCGTGCTGTTTATGCAACCTACTCATGATATCTCGCCATGCTATTCAGCAACAAAATTAGTTATTGTGTTATTTCTCAGAACTGAGATAACTCTAAACTTAACTAATATATTATCTGACAAAATGTTTTACCTCTGATACTACATTTTCCAATTCATTGAGTTCTGCTTTCAAAAAAACAAACGAATAACAAAACCGGAAGTTCTATGAAAGTTAAAATGAGTTAAGTTGTTCTTTGGTGAATTCGCGTTATACTTCCGTTGGATTCTTCAAGTATACAATAAGTTTATTGAAACATCTTGTTTCATTGTTCGCAAAACATGCAACAATCGATTGAATAACTCTTTAAAAATTTTAAATTGCACGTAAGTTAAAACATGAATAAGAAATATCAGAGTAAACTAATAACGTAGACTCTTTACTGCAGCGTCATATATACATGTAAGGCTGGAGGGACTACTAATGAGTTGTAGGCCTACTGAGCTTGGGGTGGGGGTGGGGGGTACTAGGGGCTTTCTTTGAATATAAATGACCCTCCCGTGTTTTTTGGGGGGTGGGGGTAAAGGCTTCATTGGGACACACCCATTTAAAAAAAAATCTGAATTAGAAATAGTTAAGAATTTCGTTGGAGATTGCAAACAAACTTCGCTATATCCGTAAGTTCGCTAAATTCGTGTTCGTATTAAATGAGTATTACTGTATACACATATATTGTTCTTCATGTATATTGCTCTTCCTTTATCCTTTGTTTTTCTAGCATTATAGCCCCCCCCCCCCCCCCATCCCCGCACACACTCAGTTTCCGACAGAAATTCAACAACTCTGCAAGGTATTATCCGCAATAAAACTCTGCAAGGTGTTATCCGCAATAAAACTTGCAGGTAATTATATTATTATATTATCAATTATATACTACAGATTTCCTAATACCAAAGTCAATGTCCCAGGGGCCAAGACATTCACAATTTTGGAAGAGACACTCTTGCTCATCATAACCATGTACTTAGAATGTTTCCTTAATCTGTTAATAACAATGTGGAGAGAAGAAGATTTTCAAAGGAATAATGCATTTCTACTATATATTCAAAAGAGCTTCACCCAAACACCAAAATCCCTGACCCTGGGGTTATGGTTATGATTTTCAAACTTTTTGAAAAGATTTCCTTGCTCGTCATAACCATGTAATTAGTTTTTTCTGTTAAATACCTTGGGGCAGAGAAAAAGATTTTTTATTTAAAAAAAAAAAAAAAAAACGCATTTCCAAGTATATTAAACAGACCCCCTCCCCCGACATGAACCCCTGGCCCTGGGGATCACTAATTTCACAATTCTGGAGGAGACATCCTTGATCATCATAACCATGCACCTAATTTAGCTGCTTTACATACAGAGGGAGAGAAAAAGATTTTAAAAGAACTAATGCATTTTCACTACATGATCAATAGAGCCCTGCCCTAACACCAGAACCCCTGACCCAGGGGCCAGCATATTCACAATTTTGGAAGAGGCGCCTTTACTAAACATAACTATATACTTGGTTATCTGCTAAATACCTACGAGCAGAGAAGAAGATTTTCAAAGAAATAATGCATTTTCACTAAATAATCATATTGAGCCCCCCCCCCCCTCCTGCAGAACTCCTCACCTAGGGGCCTCAAATTTCACAATTTTGGAAGAGACACTCTTGATCATCATAACCATGCACCTAGTTTATTTGCTTTATATACAGGAGGGGGGAAGGGTGGGTTTAAAGAATTTTTGCATTTTAACTATATGACCAACAGAGCCCCACGCTAACTCGAGAACCCCTAACCCTGGGGCCATGAATTTCAAAATTTGGTAAAGGGCTCAATGCTTATTACAATCATGCCAACAGTTTGACTGTTTGATGTCCAGGAGTAAAGAATTTTTTTTTAAAGATGGCACTAATTTTGATGGTTTTAGCCCTACCCTCAGGCCCCAGGGGGACAGGGACCATAAAATCACAAATTTTGTTCCCGTTCACCCATAGATGCCCTATGGTACAATTGGCTGAAATCGGTTCAGCGTTTTCAGAGAAGAAGCTGAAAATGTTCAAATGTTGACACACGACGCACGACGAACGAAAACGGATAGCAACAGGTCACCTTAGTGACTCAGGTGACCTAAAAATCGAAACCTTGTAGACCTGATTATACACATCTTTTTCAACAATTGAAAGCTTGCATCAAACAAATCCTGTTTAACTTATATAACTTGACACTTTCCAGGGACGTTTCGATAAAAGAAGTCTAGAAAAATTAAAGATTATACTTTTAATCATGTGTCTATTTTTTGTCTATATTCCTTACCCTATATCCATATCTTATATTCTGTATAAGTAGATATGACTATAAGGACCCATTTTAAGGTGGTATAAATGAATAATCAATTGGCCTCCTGCATAATAGATATTGTTTATTATTTTCATATATAGTAAAGTTGGAGGTGGTTTGAATGAGTACAGTTTTTTTTCTTTTTGCTATTAGTTTTTTTTTTCATTTAGATCCTGCCCCCCTCCCCCTTCACCCCCACAACTCCATTATTTTGTTGCTGTAAGGTCGAACACTCCAGAATTCCATAATTAAAAAAAAAGTACCCAAAAGTTGATGTAGAGGAAGGTCCACTTAAGCCACCCACTCCCATCACACATTCACACGCACGAAACAGGATTTTCGAGTTTGGACAGTTTTCTTTTATTATTATTATTATATTTTTTTTTTTTTTTTTTTTTTTTTTTTTTGGCTTGTAAACTTTTTTAGACCCCCCCCCCCCCGAGGGATAAGAAATAATTTAAAACAAATATTATAAACGCAGTTCATGAATTGTTTGACGTCATTTAAAAGAAAATAAATAAAAGAAAGCTTTTTAGGACTTTGTTCTTCCAAGGTTTTATCTCAACCGTGAACGGCATCATAAACATAACACAAAAACAGACTACCTGTTTAAAGGTAAAAAGAAGTAAAGTTCTTGGCCATTAACCACAGTGTGGCTTAATTGACCCCGAGCCCTGTTGCAATAAATAAACCCGGACCTATTGACTAACATCACGTATTTACAAATCTCCAAAAATATCGCGTCATCAAAATCAGGGTAGCGTAATGACTTTGGGTTATAAATATAATCGACTTCAGATTCATATTCATTTGATAAGAAATTTTCAACATGAGGACGGTTTTTCTTGCCGCCCTCCTCTGCTGTGGGGGTCGCGCTCTAGGGTCTTGTCCAGATGACGCCAGTGATTTAGTAGCTTGGTCTTCGAGTATAGTAAGTATTTATCAATTTTCATCTTGTTTTATTACTTATTATGGGATGTCTACAGAAGTTTTGTGTGCATAACAGATCGTAACGTTACGCACGTTAAAATTGGAGAGAGAGAGAGAGAGAGAATTGGGACTGGTCAAGCATAAAACACGATAAATGTCCGCACATACATGTATTCATGTTATCCACTACAAGCTAATTTGTTGCGAGAAAGGTTCCATTCTTTTCAAGATAAATAAAAATGAATAATCTCCTTCATTGTTTTTTTTTTTAAATTATATTTCAATCTTTGACATATTTGAAAAACGATGCAAAATGTATTACTTTCAAATGCAAAGTAAATTCATTTCTATTATACTTTTTATATCTTGTAAATACATTTCCTACAAATGCAATTAATACAGACGTTTGTATGATGTATAAATATTAAATAAAAACTCTAGGGCATTCCAAGTTTTATTGTGTTGAATCTGGAATTTCATAATTTTGTCTTTGATTTTTTTGATTTGTAAATATATCGCATATTGTGTTACACGCTGTAATCTGTAATGCTTCGCACGTCAGTAAAATTTGGAGAGAGAGAGAGAGATTAATTTCCATGCATGCTCCCTTCTTTTCCAAATAATAATGATGATAAATAATTTAATATAGAAAAATCCAATTTATAATCTTATGATTTTATAATCTTTATTCTTATTTTTCAATTTTTTTTATTATAAACTTTGGTATTTAAATAATCTAACATGTCAAATAAAATCCATTGCTCTTTAAAAAAAACCTTTTATTTCTAATATACATGTATACATTTCCTGCTAAAGCATTGCAAATAGACTTGGTACTAGGATTTGGCAGGATGTATCAAAATGAGTATCGTCACGAATTTGATTTTCTATTCAATTTTGAAATGTTAGTCTTACATTGTTTTGTTTTTTTAATTTAATTTTCAAATAAAATAAGAGACAATATAGAAGAGATAAATATATATATAATTAAAAAAAACAAACAAACAAACAATCAAAAACATAAGAAAAATGTTGTTTACTTGGACATTTTAAAGGATCGAATGATTGTCTTACATCCCCCCCCCCCCCCAAAAAAAGAAAAAAAAATCAGTGACACACTTTATTACCTCAGCGGAAGTCACGAATTTATCTGATGTAGATATTGATTTGTTATTGTTATGGTCAGACAGGTGTAGAAATAATATAAAAGAGAATCAAAACATTTCGAGCGTGTTAATGCGTAGGAAGACGTCACTGAGAGTTTATCACAGATCAGTGAATCGTGTACATAAAAATAAAAATCCCTGTTTACATTGGCATGCAAGACTGATTCCGTTCATGACGGCATTTAACTCATTCAATAGTTTTAAACTTATATTGACTCCAATTGACCGTGTGCAAAACACATATTATATGCAGAGCTGATTATATGAATTAGCATCGTCACTGGCCACGGTCCGGAGTCCGCATATATTGCAGTTGCTCTCTCCAGAACGGGAGAGGATTGTATACTCCTATTTTAGCCGTGGTTTGCGATGATCAATTTCATTTTACGATATCTATGAATTTGATAATTCTGAAGACAAAAAAAGATCCTCTAAATTTAGTACTTACTCATTACTAATTATCATGTGCACAAAACCTTGAAATTTGTAGAATTTCAAAAGAGAATACCATATTATCAATTTAATCATTCAAATAAAAATGTTCTAGTGAAAAGTAATTTTTTCTTCTTCAGACTGCAAGCAAAAATGACAACATTACTATCTCCCAACCCATTCTCTTAGACGTCTCTCCCCCAGAATTATTTGGAATCACCATATCCTCCGGAGGTAGGTTAGTGTGGAGCAGAAATGGGAATTTCAGCATCCGGACCCACTACATTTGGATACAAGGCGGTGGAGAGCTCCATATCGGAAGCGAGACCTGTCAGTTTGATAGAAAAGCAAGGATTACTTTATTAGGTAAAAATTTCATTTAAAATAACTTCATCGTCCACTTCATTATTATTTTAAAATGATTAAATTAAAATTATTAATGTTTGAAGAGTTAACTGCATGTAGTTAATGTCTTTACTCTTGAAAAAAAGTTAAAAATTAAAAAAAAAAAATGCACTGAAACTGCTAAAACAAAATAAAACAATTAAAAAATATCGACAAAATGAACAAGCAAGCAAAAGGAAAACAACATACAATTAAGAAGCAAAATAAATTTGAAGTTGAAATTCAATTTAAAGCTGTTTGTTTCAGGCGAACCTGGAGAGCTCAACATACCGTCTTTTGGGGAGAAGTTTATAGGCGTGGATAAAGGGGGAGTACTAGAACTCCACGGTAAAGATAAACTTTCCTGGACCAAGCTGTCACGACACGCCCAAAAGGCACAGGAAGAAATCTACAATCATAGGGTAAATGTTCAAAGCAATATTGATCAATTTGTTGAAAGAATATCAACATCCTTCACAAGACCAAAAATAGACTTAGAAAGTGACAACTTCATCATAAATGTCACCCATACTTGAACAAGTATATGGTTATTTGATTATAAGATTCATTTATATTTAAATATTGCAGGAAACCGAAATAAGCTTCAAACCAGGAATGTATGTGTATCACTTTAGGGAAGCTTTCAACAGCGATTTTAACATCAACACCGACTCAGGGTTCGAATATGTAGGAAAAATTCACAGAAGACTTAATTTCTTCAGTCAAAGAAAAACTAATGCCGCAATTGCCGACTTGAAAAACTTTATTGAAGGTAAACAAACAAAATCCTATCGGGTGTGCACTGAATATACCTTGATAAAATTTGATATGCAAATGAAAGGTCAACAAACAATTTGTTTACTCGAGAAACTTGCTTGTTTTGAATTGGGGGTCTATTTTCTAACATGTTCTACAAAGGATACCACATGCGCATGCTTACTGAGTATCCAAGTTAAAGTTTTTCCAAATCATTGTTCTTTAGTTATGTCCAAACAGTAATATTTCTTCATCTGGTTCGCAGGAATCCCAGATGGAGACATTTTCGCTATTGCAACACAAAAGAACTTCTTTCGTAAAGACCTATCTGCTCTTTATGACGTCATTGACGCACTGGGCAGTACAAACACTTTCCGTAGAGTCCAAAGAGACGATGCCTATGTTGCTGTGGGAAAGAAAGGTTTATGAGAATAATGTTGTAAAAACCTAATTATTCAGATTAATATTGATATTTAATTGAGATGAATGACATTTCCCTTTGAGGACTAGTATTTTTTTTTAATCTTTGAAAATAGAATTGAGAAATTCAAAGATGTTTCTCTATTCTCAAGTCAATTATTTTTTTTTAATGATCAGGATCAAGTTTTTCTGAAAACCACAATTCAGACATTTCGGAGGACCAGTCTACAGAGGCCAAGGTAACATATACAGCCCCAGGAAGAGAACGAGAAATTATGGTAATGTCAAAGAACCATTTAAGGGATTCCAAGAGTCGCACAGAGTTTAAGGTTCTAAACACGCTGCAGACGAGACCTATCATCTCTGTTGTTGATGACGTCAGCGGTTGGAATACTGGTAAGCATTTAACGGGTGATTGTGTCTAAAAACGCTCCCATTTTTCTGAAATTGTACTGACATTTCAAAATAGTCAATGGAGAGTTTATATTAAACAATCAAAGATCCCAAATACTTTGTAGTCATAATTTTTTTTTTCTTTGTTTAAGAGCATTAAAGCCCAAAAATTCTCACAATACTTGTAAATGTATGAAGTATATTTAAGAAATCTTATACTATATACTAAATCACTAATTTTTTTGAATACAGGGGACAAGATCTTTATTACCTCCACTGATTACGACTGGAGACAGGTGGAGGAGTTCTCCATCGTCCCCTGTAATAGTCCCGAATGTTCACCAAACACTGTCCGTCTCAACCGTATGTACACATTCTTACTTTGTTGATCAAGGTCATTTCTGTACAGTTGTCATTAGTTTTCTTCACAAATACTTACATGTAATATGTACACCATATATGTGAACGCATGGGTCAAAGGGACAACCCTGAGTAGAGACTGAATCTTTACATTTTCAGAATGCATGTTTTATTACAATTACCTGCTATGTACCAAGTCTTGCTATTTCTTTATTATTGATTTACATCGTCATTTTGTTATACCCCGTAATATTGCTTGTATTTAATAATCACTATGTTCTGATGCGCAAAGAAGAAACATAAAGTAATAAGTAAAAACTTTATCTATTTCATGTGAGTATCTGACTTTTGATTATTGCCATGCAATTAATATCAGATCAATAAAAAAAATGTAGCCCATTAGTACGGAGTGTGGAGGAAAGAAAAAGATTGAAACAAAAGTTAGATCTCAATTTAATCCGTGTTACATGGACAGATAATTCAGCAATTTAAAAGTTCATGTAACGGGGCAGGAAAGGCAGGAAACGGCGACATTACTGTACATTATACAATAATTTAAGAGTATTTTACATAATCAAGACTCAGCTATCCTTCGATAAAGGCTTCCGGTTGGTTAACCGCTCGTTTGAGGATTCTCTATACATTTAATGTTTCAAATATATACATATATTTATAACCCATGCAAACAAATTATTTCAAAATATTTTTCGAAATGCTTTCAAAATATACACAGTTTGATGCTTTGACAAAATAGCTTTCTTTCTGACGAGTGCACAAACTTTATACCTTTATCTGGAGGAAATTATCTTAGAAACGCATAATATTCTGGGGAAAATGAATTCTATTGAAGTAATTTGGCCAATAAATAAAAGTGGATAAAGATAGATTTTAATCATGAGCGATCGACATACATGAATTTGAAATTATTTAATATGTAATCTGAAATTATATTTTATTGCCTCAACACGCTTATTGAAATTTTACTTTCATTTACTGATGGCCTTACTTTCGTTTACTGATGGCCTTACTTTCGTTTACTGATGGCCTTACTTTCGTTTACTGATAACCATACATTTATTTACTGATTCTTTTTGGTTTACTTTTAATGATACATAACACTTTTCCGTGATTTATTGTTTCTTCCTTTAAGTAGTCTAGTTTTTGCAAATTAACTTTTTAAATTGAAGGTCCAATCAGAAATGATCACTATGGTGAAATTTTCAAGCGGGTGGACATGCGAGCTGAGGTGGGTTTGATGTCAAGACACATCCTAATAGACGCCGAGGTGTCCAAGGGCAAAAGCAACGGGGGACACGTCAAGGTTAATACATGTACATATTCTGTAATATCATATACACGATTCTTTTGTGTAATTAATACAATCATAATTTATTAAAATTGCCTCACTTTCTTTTTAGTTCGTGAAAGGATTTGGAAGTGTTCGAGTAGAAGGTGTTGAACTTACAAATCTTGGTCAACCTTTGATCACAGGTACAAGCTTTAACTTAAGTTGAAGAAATTTTGATAATTTGACTGCTATATTCTGAAATTTTTAAAAATTCTTCAATTTAGGAAAAACATGCAAAGGCCCTTAGTTTTGCACGTCTTCATGAAACCTGTGACATTGAAATTCAAAAATAATATTTTTAGGTCGCTACCCTCTCCACTATCACATGTGTGAGAACCTTGCTGACACCTCTCTCTATCCAGTCCGCTCTTACCTCAGGAAGAACTCCATTCACCATAGCCAGTTCAGATGTGTCACAATTCACGGAACTCATAATACAACGGTAAATACTGTAAACTAAGTTTTATTTGCAAACGTGAAATATGTGAATTTAGAAAACTTATCTTACGCGCGAATATTTCTTGTCACGAATCAAATTTTGAGCATTTATGTATAGAGGCTTTTTCTCAGTAGCGAATATAAATAATAGCAGATGGATTTTTAATAGAAAAATTGCAAATATAAGATGAATAAGAGTTGTTTACATTGGGTAAAACATACCGTTAATAAAAATGCGTTCAAACATAATTATATGTTTCATTTATATGGTTATTAAAGTTCACCATCATTTATAAAGTTTTCATTTGGAGAAATCAATTGCATTCTACTGTTTTACATAGAGTTTCCAATTGTATTTATATTTTAGGTAACTGACAATGTTTGCTATGACACGGTTGGTCACGGATTCTTTATCGAGGATGGAGGAGAAAAAGACACTTATCTCAGGGGTAACCTAGGTCTGGGTCAGCGTAGATATAAAGGAGACACCGTATTAGACGTCACGGGAGCTATTCCTACTGACACGTGAGTGGATCTTGAACGTGTTCGAATAAGCATTTGCAAATGAAAGGCTTTTTGGCGTATACATTTATATGTACGGAGATCTATTTGACATTTGAAATAATTTTCTTTTTAGAAAAAAAGGTCCTGTTACATTTTGGGTCACGAGCCCAAAAACGACTCTGATCAACAATGTCGCCGCCGGAGGAGAGGTATGCGCTTACTTTGGGGATCAATGCCTGCATATTTTCTAAGCTAATACTTGAATTTGATCCCCGTCATGGGGATCAAATTCAAGTATTAGCTTAGATAATATTAAAAGCAACGTTGCATAGTAAATAAACCCGGGTTCTTGCAATATATTGTAATCTACAAGAATTAATTCTGGATATCTTTACTTACTTCTCGCTAAATTGAATGAATTACAAAATGGATAAGGTGTTATATAATGTGCTACTTTTCAAATGACAGGGAATCGGAATGTGGTTTGTTTACCCTGATATTCCGACGGGCCCATCTCATGACAAAAACTTCATGGCGGAGAAAGAGGCTCGTCGCACAAAAATCACGAAGTATCTTAACAATGTGCATCATTCGTATGTTGTGGTATGTTAGTTTTAGTATCTAAAATTTTTTTAGTATATTTATAAAATAGAATTTTTTTTGGTCATTTACTAGAAATTTCAAAATTGTCCTCAGTAACTTGATAGATATTAAAATCAGCGTGAAAACAATGATTTATTATTGTTGACAACTGCAGGCAGGACTGTTTGTGGACAATATTGAGCAACAGGACCTGACCGTGAAAGGGTACAATAAATATAACCCCAGGCTTATCCCAACCGATCCTTCCTCCCCCAGGGTAGCAGCTGTCTTTGAAGGAATTACAGGTGACTTGTTTGATCTTCATTTTGATTTTTGTCAAATTTTCATTGGTGCATGCACCGATTTGAAAGATCTATTTTTGCATCAAGTATTTTAAACTTTTTAAAATTCTAAAGCTAAATATTTTAGAGTTTAAGTTCTGAAGCTAAAAAATGATGGGGTTTCCCTTGATTTTCATGCAAGAAGCCAAAATAAATCTAAAACAAACTTAATTTAACAAAAAAAAGTTTTTTAATAGTCGTAAAGGATCCTTTTTTGAGTGTACAAATTCAGGATTTTGAATGATTATATTTATGCTAAATAGATGTTTATTTGACCTGTTAAAATAGAATAAATGAATTTCACAGATTAAATCAAAAAAGTAATTAACCAAATTCATTAATATATAATTTTATGTAAATATTTTACAGCTTATAAAAATCGAATGCAAAATGTTTGGATTCGAGGGACTCCCATAATTGTCAAAAAATCATCGTAAGTTAAAATATTTTCATTAATTAATTTGAAAATTCAGTTGAAAATTTACTTCTGACCAGAGATTAGGGGAAAAAAATGAATTTTTCACATTGCAATTTGTTCTTTTGTTTAATAGATTTTCCGACAGTTTATTCGGAGCAACTTTGATCAAGTAAGTATAGAAGAAAAATATGCTTATTTGCAAAATTATTTTTTTTCAAGATTTTTATCAGGGAATTACATTAATTTCACTTTTTTAATATAGAGAAAGCAACGTATGGATGGAATTTACAGACAATGTTGTGATTGGTTACTCTGACAACATGGGTAATCCAATGGGAAGTGCCGAGAGATCATTCCCATCAAGACCGTAAGTTTTAAAGAAAAATGCCACACTACTAGAACATATATAACTAATACATTTATTTATTAACGTCAGTAAACGAAATAAAGCTGTTGTAGGTTCTACGGTCTCTTAGGTTATAATTAAACTTAATTTAAATTAAATAATGTATTTTCAAATTTTTCAAATTTTTTTAAGAATTTGTTTTGATTCAAGTTTTTTTTTTACAACAAAAGGTATAAATTTAATTTAGCAGTGCAACAAAATGATGCAAGTTAGCAATGTAATTTGTTTGACAATGATGCCTATTGACTATACAGTCTGAAACCCTTTTCCTTCAGTTCTAGACCAATAGCTGGATATAGGGTACACAAGGGTCCTGTCTATGTCAGAAACACGTGGTTTGGAGGCTTTGAGTCTACAGATTTATACAACGCCACAGCCATCACAAACAGACAGTGTCCCCCAAATCTAGACCCACAGAACCAAGTCCAGAATGTTCTTTTTGGTTTTGATGATGTAAGAAATTACAAGATATTAACGATTTAAGAATAATTATTGTTAATATTAGCAGGTATTCCTTATTTATTGTGAATAGTCAAAATATCTCAACTCTGTGTGCGCAATTTTCTACAGATTTTTATACGTACATGTAATTATTTAGCAAAAAGGAAAAGATGATTACACATTTCAATGGCTTATTTTAATAACGAACCTTTAACATATATCTATACAAATTCGATTCAACAAATCTTAGCTAAATTATTATGGAAATAAACATATTTGGAATATATACAGACTCCAGGAAGCCGCTTCCATTTCACGAATGGACGCAACTGCCCCGAAAAAGAGGCGATGTTCACCGTTAAAGATGTGGGAAATAGTTTGACACGAGATCAGGGAACTTCAGACATGACCCTTGTCACAAATCACCCCTTCCACACCACTGGGGAATGTAAATTGAGGAACTCGTGGGATATGGCCTATTGCCCATACAACTACGGAGAGGTTAGTATTTCTTCATTATCTACCCGTTTGAATTCCCTCGACTCCAAAAATTTTAATAAACATTGAATTTTTTTAAGGTTTCGTCAGAATAATTCATATTATTTACTTTGACTAAATTATCCCCAAATTTGTTGATTTACAGATAAAATTCATGTACCCGACGGAAAATGATCTAAATGTCTACAGAACTGATGGCGGATCGACATACGCAATGAGAGATATTACCAGCAAGTCTTTCATCTCAATCCTTGGTGACTCGTCGAGGACTTTCCAGTATCTAGCCCTCATTGAAGATGGAATGCCAGCCACTGTTGGAATTCGTGGCTCTTCCATCACAAAGTGAGACAATTTTTTACATCCTTTTGGTACACATTAATGGCTTAAATCTCTCCGAATAATTTTCTCTCAATATAAATATTTCAAATAGTTTTGCCACTTATTTCATATTTTAATTTGTTTTTTCTTTTAGATCAAACTCATTTGTAATGGCATTGTGTTTACCAAGAGATGCCGAATTTACATTTCGTTATTCCATCTCCAAAGCGGACAGAATTAGGGCTCAAAAGGTGTACACAAGAGATGAGGTTTTAGCTGATACCACGGGAGGAAAATACTTCTTCGATTCCAATGTTGGGTGAGCACAAGTACTTACTAGTAATTATAAATTGAAACCATCGTCTCCAACCTTCATTCGTCAAAATACTGACAGAAGAATTAAAAATATATTGTATATCAACAATTTTCAGAGTGATCTTCTTCAAAATGGTCAGTGATGTGGATTACACAGAAGGGGAGAAATCCTCTTGCCCCTCCAAACACTGTCCCTTCGCTTTCATCGGGATAGACAGCGGGACAATGACCGACAGTGACTGTTCCAGTAGGTTTTTTAACCAGCCATCAAAGTCCTATCTACAAGCGGACCAGGTAACGTCATCTCCATAATGATTTTTCTTTTCAATAGGTGCTCATGGATATGAAAAATATGTGGGATAGGCCTTAAAGTACAATGCAGTACTTAGTATATCGACCATGACATGGATTCATTATAAGTGCTTTCCATTTTTATTTCCTTGGTGAAAACGGTTTGCATAATCCTCATCCACGTTGCATACGCAACAAGTGTTCTATTATCTGGCAACAGCATACAATTGCCAGTTATTGAAAGCAGTTGTTCATTTTAAAAGAAAATGTCATATTTTCAATATATTCTATAAGTTTTTTATGAACTCAACAGAGAAGTAAATTGACCCTTTTTCATGTTTAACTCCTAATTAAATTTTTCTATTCTTTCTTCAGGGTAGCCCAAGTGTAGAAAATAGCGTAATCCCAGCTGATTCTGAAAACCCACCAGAGGTAAATTTTATTTAAAGTAGTAGCCATGTTGATGGTAACTTACTGTTTTATAATATTTTAACATTATGACATAGACATGTCTTACAGCCATGAGAGATGGATGTATTACTGCATTTGATCTGTCCATCCTTAAAAGAAAAATGAATGTCATTGAAATAAAATTAGATGTTACGGAAGCATGTCAGCTTTCTTTTCTGTTTCGCAGACAATGGGAGCAGGATCTACATATCCAGGACCAGCTCTATAAGAAATCCAGACTCAAATTTCGTCCTAGTCTCCGCAGGCCAAAATATATTTTATGTGTTCAGGGTAGAATGTTTTATTTGTATATATACAGTTTATATTATCTTCTAGAAGAATTCCATTTTTTATATACATTATTTTATATACTTACATGTATATTTATGCTTTTATGGTGTCATTTACCGTTATCTATGTGTAAACATGTTTTGATTTTTTTCCTTTAAAAAAGGATAAATGAAATTCTAATGTTAGCAGATAAAGATATACAAATGTACATGTATATTTTTCATGGTTTGCTCAATGAAATGTAATCTTAGAAGCATAATGCTACCACATCTGAAATTGAATTTCTTTACCTTTTCAAATCTATAAATAAAGGAATAAAAGGAATAAGTTTTTGTCGGGACTTTACTTTAAAAGAAACTTTAACAGTTCAAACTTGATCCATAGATGCGTAAGGAAGCGAGATGTGCTATTACCTTGTACCGATGTCAAGGTTACAGGGTACAATTGTTGTAGACGCAACTTTCAAATGGAGAAACATTAGAAGCTTATACTCGAATGTGTGACCTTGTCTTAATGCAAGGTAATTTGGACAAGGTCATGAGTTTCTAAAGTGTAAAAACTTAATGGAAGAAGAGAAGCATATGAAGCTTATACTCCGAACACAGGTGCTTGTAATGCGATGGTGTGTATCAACCCTGCATCATGTTATTTGGATAAGGGCAAACTCATTGGGTTTTATATGTAAATATTTGCATATACATCTACTACAATTTTGCATGGAAAAACCATATAGAAGATTATACTTGGGTTAATGATTGATCAAAGGGATACGTTACCACTCTGAGGTTCAAAGGGGTTCAAGACAAGGGTTCAACAATTACGCAATCTGACGTTGTCGGAGATGTAAAATTTAAGAAGATAAAACTATATAACTGAGGAGCATTAAGCCACACTAAGATTATCCTTAACCAAAAGGTAGGTCTGTATTATGGAGAGCCAAAGGATGTATTCGGAATATCAGAAGATTTGACCTATGGGAGAGAGCAATTTCCCAGAAAAAGTCACATTTAAAAATCATTGATCATTAGTTGTTTTTTACCGTATATATGTCTAAATTTTTCGAATTTGTATTTTAAACCCAAAGTTTATTAAATACAACTTTAAAATTAACCTCAGAAGTTGGCAGGCTTGGGGCGAATTACATTGTAAAGTAATACATTACATTACCATTACTTCAAGAATTTGGGCATTAAATTACCATTACCATTACTTTAATTTCTTAAAGTAATGCATTACATTATCATTACTTTAGCAAAGTAATGCATTACCATTACCATTACTTTTGGAGGTTTTCAGAAATAAAAATACAAATCTTTGCAAGTTTTTTTCATAAACATGCATCCCAGCCCTTTAAAACTAAACATGATAAATGATAATTCAAATTTAATTTCAGGTACTTGTATTTATTACATATAAATAATTTACCTATCCATTTATTATTCGTAGGAAGTTCGAACTCTTCAATTGCAAATAAGATAAAGACAGTCATGTACATGTACAATAAGCACTTTTTGTGTAACTATAAAATTGATGTCATAAAGCAATTAAACTTTTGGGGCAATTTACTCCCTCCCCAAAACTAAAACTAGTCTTAGTAAGACATATAAAGATTATTTGGATCTAGTATACATTAAATTATGACCAAAATTTAAATGCATTGACAAACTTATAAAAAGGGTTGGATAGTATGTACATTTTGCTCTTCTGAAATGCCTGTCTTCTATTCCTTTTGGTGCAATAGCTTTGTCATGATCAGCTCAAGCTAGACCAGCTCAATGTTTCATAAACATAGTCAGAAAAAAGGGGCTGGTTTTGGAGAACTTCTCAATACAATACATTGTTTTAATTGTTACATAACATTAGAGGGATTTTATGTTTTGATGATGCTCTATTCAAAAGGTGACAATTATCTGTTTACATTGTACATTAATTAGTGTGCTTCATACCAGAATTGTTTTTGAAGGATATTTAAAAAAAAAAAAAAAAACTCTTTAAAATATTCTTTGAAATTATATCTGATCTAGAGTAAATATAAAAAATCAAATGTATTTTAATTGTACTTTCAACAGAATAAAAAAATATATTTAAATACATGTAGATACAAAGAGTTTTACTGTTTTAAATAGGTTAATTTTTTTCATTCATTTCTATTATTCAAAAAAAAAATTAATCTTAACAATTATTTCCATGTCCATTTTCATTTCTTTAAATAGATCTACAAAATAATGCTGTGTAATGCTATGTAATGCCAGCATTACTCTGGATTTGAGAAAGCAATGCATTACATTACCATTACATGTAATGCAATTTTTTGGGCATTACACGTTACAAGCATTACTTGTAGTTCAAGTAATGCATTGCAATGCATTACCATTACATTTAGCATTACCCCCAAGCCTGGAAGTTGGCCAAAACAGCATTTTGTCCATTGAAGCACTGATTTTTGCCTAAAAGTTATTCAGGGCTGGTCTGCCCCTAAATAAAATTATGATATTTTGATAGGTTGTGATGTAAAGAATGATTTAAGATAGAAATCTTTTAGGGGCACCCCTGCCCTGGGGTCGAAATCCAAAAAAACCTACAAAAAATAAGGAATCCTGTTCTTGAAATCCTGGTTCACATGAAATACGAAGATAACGAACAGTATTCAATCTCGAAAATCCATTGAAACGATACAAATTAATTAGAGCAGAGCAAACACGGACCTCAAAAGGTGATAGGATCAGATGCCATGGAGGAGTAAGCATCCCCTGCCGACCGGTGTCGCATAATATTTGGTCCGCCTCGTTTAAAGGTCCGGGGGGACCTAATACGATAACATAAAAGGTCCGCCTTTTATAAGAAAAGGTCCGGCCCGTATAAGAAAAGGTCCGCCGAAGTTTAAAGGTCCGGGTGGTGCAAAATGTTTTAATCTTGACTTAAACACATAAAATTAAAGAGAGTTTGTTTACATCATATGAAGAAAGATTAAGGATTTACCCTAGCTGTTGTGTTTATTTTTTTGTACAATATATCTCTTAGGGCAGGAATTGCTACTCCATGTTTAGTGTGCTTTTAGCAATACCGTTTAGGGCAATGATTTAAAAAAAAATGTCGCATTTATTGGGCTTGTGTTTGTTTTTCCCCAGCATTTGCTTTGTGTAAATCAGGACGATTAAAGGTGTGAAATCTGCCGGTGTGTATAGGCAATAAAACAATGGGGGTGTGAAGTATTCGTATACTTGACAGGTACCCGCAGGTAGAGCCCGCGGCAGTTAGCAATGACAATGTAATGGTCATGTGTTTGCTTTAAACCAGTAGATATGAATTCTCTATTTTAATAAATTATGCTGAAGAACAAATTATAATACTGTTATGATATTCATGCGTACACATCAAAATTGTGATATATATAATTATATATAGTCTATTTTTATTACAATATTTAAAGAAATTTCTTATTCCAAGTGTAGAGTTTAATACTAAGACCAATAAAAAATAAAAGTATGTATATGCTTCCCTTCAGTTTTAACAATTAACTTGTTTTCAGTTTATAATATTTTGCCCTTTATTTGTGGATAGGGTAATATATAGCCTAATGTTAACGTTGTATTCGATCTATATTTACTGCAGAAACAAAATACATGCAATGTTAAAGCTTAAAACAGGTAACTCAATGTTGAAAATATATACATCAGATTTAAAGTATAATCATGGTTTGGATTTAATTCTGTCTTATAAAAATATCACTCTTCCTCGTCATAATGAACTACATATGAAATAATGTTTCATTTTTGTAATTTTTTTTGCCAAAAGAAAAAGAAAGAGAAAGAAATTACACATTTTACTCTGACTATAATAGACACACTGTGGGATAATCTAGCAGGCTGTATTGCATGACCGATTAAAATTTGAAATCATTATTGTAAAATATTTTCTTTTATTACTGACATGAAGCATTTTGGGCAAAGTTGAATGTCCAGTTCTATATACAAGTCATTTATGTATCTCACGTCTGTATGAACGGGGGAAGGGGGAGGGAACATCAGTTGATCCTCTTCCTTTTTTGCGTATCAAGGAATTTCTATTTTCTACATTAATTTGTGCAATAACCCCCCCCCCCCCCCCAAATGCACCCAGAAATATGCTGACTGACTGTTTCTGGGGACGTCAAGCGTGCGTCACATTTCCCATTTCAAGCCACATGATATGCACATTTTCGTGATGTCGACTAGAAGCGTTTCAGTCTAATTTTAAATCAAAAATATATTTCTTTTATAAAACGCTGATTATTTATGATTATTTATTTTATTCATTTATGGAAAGTGGCAACTCACGGTTATCCGGAGAAAAAAGGTAATTCATGGGGTTTTCCATCATGAGAGTCCAAGCTGCAGACAGCTCAGTATTACGTTACGCTACAACTCTATACCAAGTAGTCCCGGAGAATTGACACTGTATGGAGTATGACTGAGAGTCATACTCCATACTCTCCGGGACTACTTTCCCTACGAATAATGATATGGAATAATACTGAGCTGTCTGGAGCTTGATTGAGAGTGATCTCCCGTGTAGAATTTTCTACGCGGTGAAAACCAATAAAGTGTATTGTTAGTACCACTACACCTGCTCAAGAGTTTTTGAAAAATTCTTTACGAAAGCTAGGAACTTTGAACAGGGTTTATTTTCATAGCACAAAAACTAGAGAAAGAGGCAGGGCGGACCTTAAAACGCAGTATAATTAAAGGTCCGCCCTCTATAATTCAGATGTCTTACTGTTAAAAAGCAAACATTTTGGACAGGGTTTATTTCCGTAACATAAAAACTAGTCAAAATGGCAGGGCGGACCTTAAAACGCAGTATAATAAAAGGTCCGCCCTCTGTTTTTCAGATATCGTACTATAATTACAAGGCGAAAATTTTGAATAGGGTTTATTTTCGTAGCATACAAACTAGAGAAAGAGGCAGGGCGGACCTTAAAACGCAGTATAATAAAAGGTCCGCCCTCTGTATTTCAGATATCTTACTATTACAAGGCGAATATTTTGAACAGAGTTTAT